GATGCGATCAGCATGTCATCGACGTAGAGACACACAATGCACTCGTCGTCACCAGCACCTCTCGTGTAGACACACGGGTCGGCATCGGCAGCTCGAAATCCCATGCTCTTGAGATGCGCGTCGATCGTCCTGTTTCATACGCGAGACGCTTGCTTGAGTACATACAAACTCTGCAGTAGCAGGCAGACGACGTCATCTTCACCTTGAGCTTCAGTCAAATCCAGCAGTTCTCGAAGTCCTTCAGGCAACACCATGTAGATCTCCTTTTCGAGCTTTCCATACAAAAACGCAGTGTCGATGCCACACTGGTCAATCTCCATTCCGTCGGCGCAGCACTTCGCGAGTTTCGCACGAATGGAGTTCAGGTACACCACCGGCGAGTAGGTCTCCTCGTAGTCGATTCCATGGCGCTGCGAGTACCCCTTGGCCACGAGACGAGCCTTGTACCGAACGACTCTCCCCGTCTCATCGCGCTTCAACGCGAACACCCAGCGGCAGCCAATCGCGCGCTGGTGGTTGGGCTTGGGCACCAACTTCCATGTCTTATTCGTCATCAGCGACTTGAGCTCACTTGCAATCGCTGCCTTCCATTGGGCACGATCCTCACTCGTAATCGCCTCTTGATACGACCTTGGCACCTCCTCCGTTGCAGCCATCAGCATCCCACCGCGGATAGTGAGTTGGTTCTCGTCCGACTTGGTGCGACCTCGGTCCACCTTCTGACGCTTCGTCCTGATCTCGGATGGCGCAACGACTTGCTTCTTGCGAGCTCGGGATTCCTCAGGATCGTTGGTCTCTTCAATGTGACGAGCACGCGACCGAGTAATCATCGGATGGGTAGTGTACGGAACGATTGCTCCACCTGTCGTCACGTCATTCGGTGACATAGTCGGGCCGCCAACTTCAACTTCAGTCGAAACGTCGCGAACAGGCACCAATGCAGGTACTCGTTCCGAGCTTGGGCCCGTGGCAATCGGTTCTTCATCGTCGGCGATCTCCGGGCGTGTCATCAGGTGGTCGGGTTCAGCCGTCTCCATGAACTTCACAGTGCGCACGATTTGCACCTTCCCCGTCGCCACGTTCAGAACGCGGTATCCCTTCACACCATCTTCGTAGCCCAGGAATCAACACTTGAACGCCTTCGCATCCAGCTTCCGACGCTTTTCATCGGCGATGTGGGGGTAGCCGAGTGCACCAAACACCTTCATGTTCTTGAGTTGAGGCTTGGCTCGGTGCATGATCTCGTGGGGTGTCTTGACGGTCACCAAATTCGGGATCCGGTTCATGATCCAGGCCGTCGTGTTGACAGATTCTGCACACCACTTCTTGTCGATTCCTTCATGGTAGAGCATGCAGCGCGCCATCTCCACCAAACTTCTGTTCATGCGCTCAGCCAATCCATTCTGCTGAGGCGTGTACGGCACCGTCTTTTCATGTTTGATGCCGTTGCGGCTGAGGTAGGCTTTGAACTCCTTGCCTGTGTACTCGCCGCCATTGTCCGAACGCAGGCGCTTGATCGTCTTGCCCGTTGCGTTCTCCATTGCTGTCTTGAAGATCTTGAACTTCGACAGCACCTCCGATTTCGCCTTCATGAAGTACACCGTCACGTGTCTCGAGTAGTCGTCGATGAAGGTCACTGCATATGTGCAGCCTCCAGGTGTCTTGGTCTGCATCGGTTCTGTGTGCACCAAGTCGAGTACACCTGCACTCTTGACCAAGTTGTCAGGGTGACGTGGGAAGTTGTCAGCGCGCATCTTCCCCATGCAACATCCGGCGCACATGTTATCCATGGACACGTCACCCGCGATGCGCGGTACCCCTTCGGCCATGCTCAACAGCTGTTCGTAGCGCTTGTACGGGATGTGGCCGAGACGGGCGTGCACGACGGCCCATGGCTCCTTACGACATGTCGTCGCCGCACGACACACCTCGTCCCACTGTCTTCAGCTTGTAGACGTTTCCACAGCGCTTGGCCTCCATCACCGTCACGCCGCCAAAGCGAAAGACACACTTGTCCTTGCTGAATTGCGCGTCGACGTCCTTCTCGGCCAGCTTCGACACCGAGATGAGGCTCCCATCAACTTCCGGGATGTACAGAACATCCGACAATGTGACGGACGTCCCGTCCATCAACTTCAATCCGACGGTGCCCTTTGCAACTGCGTCGATCTTCGTGCCATCCGCGATCGTAATGCGGACTGGCGTCTTCAGCTCCTTCATGGACGGAACTTGTCCCGGACGCTGGTCATGTGCGAGCTGGCACCGGAGTCCACAGGCCACTCCGACTTCGCCATTGCACCCGTAGCCGCGAACGCGAATTCCGACGCCTCCTGCGCGGCTTGTCCACGTCCCTCATTGGCTTTCTTCTTGCGGCACTCTAGTTCCTTGTGCCCGAGCTTCTTGCAGTAGAAGCACTTCCCGGAGAACCCGCGCTTGCGGAACTCCTTCTTCGTTGTAAATGCCTTCTCCCGAGCTGATGTCGAATCCTCAGAGACTTCAACACCAGACAGAGCTTGGATCGCGTACGCCAACGTCATGTTCGGCGTGTTCTCGAGTACGGTACTGATCATCCGGTACTCTTCCGTCAAACTGCCCAGCAGCAGCACGGGTTGACGAGTCTCGTCCAGAGCTTCACCAATCATCTCCATTTGCAGCACCAGCACCTTGAACCGGTCCACATGTGCCGCGAACCGCGTCCCGGGCTCCATCTTGAAGTTGTGCAACTTCTTGGTCACGACGAGCCGATTCTTGAGAGTGTTGCGGTTGAACGGCTCCTCAAGCAGGCGCCACGATTCAGCAGCGGTTGTCGCTCCACGGATGTAGACTTGGTTGTGAGACTCACGTCCCCAGCGATCACACCAAGGGCCTTCAGATCGTCGGTCGTCCATTGTACCGTGGAGCGGTCACTCAACTGGTCGAACTCTGGCTTGACGATGTAGGCCAGCAGTCCCTTGCGCGACAGCTTCATCCGCATGCTGAACTCCCAGTGGAAGTAGTTGTCTTCCACGAGCTTCACGGTGTCTGCGTAGGTTGGGCTCATAAGCACTTGAGATTATGCGGGCGAGGATTGGTAGTCGAGTGTTGGTTAGGAAGGAAATCCGAAAGTGAATTGGAATGAGTTAGGCCAAACTAACTATTATATCCTAGTCTCCTATGCTTAAACATGAATCGTACCAACGCATACCTCCTACTTCGTCGTAGGAGAGGCGGGGGAGCAAAAAGTAAATGTTGCAGATCGTATCCAGAAAGGCAACTTCAACTTGCCTTTTTCTCAGCCAATCAGAAGTGTCAAATCTAGGGGCTCCGCCAATCAGATCCCAGTATTCCACCACATGTACCACAATTTCCTACCTTTGGCAACAACTTCACAGCAAGCACGTGCCTCGATACGGAGACACACAACTAGACTGCGAAGTGTACAATCGCAACAGAGTGAAGGTCGGGCAAATGACTTGAGATTTGTATGGGTCATGTTAGTGAACCCGCTAGTTGGACTAAATCGCGTCCTAGAGAAGAATGAAGGCATTGGTCATCTTAGTATAAGTGTAAACTACAGCTCCAGTAAATTGCGCGGTACCTCGGGTGATTTTGAGGGAGATATAGATGCCCACGTAAATCTAAAGTAGCGTCGTGACAACGTCCATATGATTTGTATGGGAAGATTTGATCTGGTAGTGACGAGTCGAATCGTACTCGTGTGTGCGGACTGAAGCCTCGATACTTGTTCCAACTTCGGTTACAATATTATCTACCTTACTTGTTGCTGCTGCAGTCGTCCGTTGTCCTTTAGCACTGCAGGAAGAAGGGGTTTTCAGGTGCACTAACATGACCCATACAAATCTCAAGTCATTTGCCCGACCTTCACTCTGTACAAGCATTCAATTAGTATAGGATTTTGTATTAGGATGGGGTGGCCGTAAGTTGTGACCACCTTGCCAAAACAGTTTTTGTATGTGAGCCACCCGTAAGATTGCAAAAACGCGAGCGTTAACACATGTCAGGCCTTTTTACCGTGTTTTGCTACTAATGTCAAAACCGCACCGCATAATAAGCAAAACTGACAGAGTTATGGTATTTTGTTGGGGTGGCCGTATTATTGTAGCCAGGAGTGTATCATACTTAAGTATGTACATTCCTAAATAATTACAGTAAAAATATGCTATGGGTATCAGTGAACGCCTTCCACTATATGTACGCGCAGTGTTGTCGCTTACTATGCGCTTCTATCGCTTACTATCAGCTGCTCTATCACTAACTTATGCGCTACTATCCCTCACTACCATACCAATTATCGTAGCATGTGTTTATACGAAGCAAGCCTCGCTACAGCGCTATTATACTAAGTAGTAGGGTGCCCGACCCCAGCGATAGCTGCTACTACTCGGTGGGCCCATTTTAATTAATAGCAGGTGTTCCAAAAAGTATTAGGCCAAGCGTCACGGGGGGGGTGACGTAATCGCCCCCGTTCCGCTCGCCTCGCCGGCTTGCTGCACTACTCGCCGTGTTATTAATACATAGTTGTAGGGCGGGCGCTGCGGCCCTCTAGAACGCACGCGGGTGCCGCCTTCGCTGTGCTCGGCAGCAAAGGCTTGAATCGTTTCAGCGCTGACTCCATATACGCAGAGAATGGCCGTGGTAGTGGCAACTAGGATGAATTTGATACTCGATGCAGTCGAAGAGCTTGACTGACACTTGGGAGGAGAAGCTGTAGTGAAGTGCCAAGGCAAATTTGAAAATGCGTACAGACTTAGACTCGTTGGCGCTCTAAACTCTATTCGATTGCACGATTGGAGAAAAGTTCCGGACACTGCATAAGAGTAAGTTGTTGAATGTAACAGACATGTGTCTACCGTGGTTGGCTCAGCTCGCGCTGCACTGCTTGTACATGTGCAAGAAACGGTCTTTCAGATCGGGACTGGACAAGTATCCCTTGAATTATTTTTTATACGGCGTTTGAAGCTGCGGCAATTTCTAGTCGCTCTCGATCGTTACGTTTCTCTATGAGAGGTACGTTGTATATCCTTAGGAATTTATCGAGCGTTCGAGAAAGTTGTTATCCTTTTCCGTGACCAAATTCCTCTTAGAAAATACCTGCGAAGCCGCATTTGAGAACGTGACCGGCATCGGGTCGACTGTCTTGACAATTCCGAAGGAGGAGCGCGAGGCTGTGGGTGCCTTCTTGTACCACAACAGAAGTTGGATGCCCCCGGACGTGATTTGCACCGCCTTCGCGCTGCGTAAGACGTGCCGGGCTCGGACTTTTATACAAAATCGACCTAGTCGTGGTTTTATACGGCGGCCCGAGCATTCTGCTTTGCAAAATGCTCTGGCTCAAGGCATCTGCGCATCGTCCAAGCCCGAGATCTCGCGGTCCGTGAAACAAGTGGCGTTGATGTTTGCAGCTCGAAGCAGCTACCGAGCCGTCATTCAGCTGCTGGAGAAGGGCGAAGACTGGCCGCTTGCTACTCTGAATGAAGCACTGAAAGCGACGAGCAGCCCAAACAAATTTTGAGGGGGAGAATTGGCGATCCAGGCTGCTGTGAAGTCAAGGATTCGTTCTGGTAGTGTGCACCATGTTCATATCAGGGATTTTGTAGGCTTTCAACCCAATCTGGCATCAACTATTCACCCTACGGGTTGATAAAATGAATCAGGCGTTGATGAACCTCTCACTCTTCAACTCGATTGGAAGAAAGCAACAGCGAGGGAAACAACACGATGAACCAGACCGAGGAGGACACGGTCCATGTATACAGGGAAGAAGACGGACGAGAAGATGAAGAACTTGGGGATGATGAAGAAGATCAAATCGACGAAATCAGATGTCATGCGAGCGTGATTCGAGTGCTTCCATCCGAACACCAGGCGTTGGAACACGTCGTGCAGCAGATTCAAGCGTTTTTCATGACGATGGAGGAGGCGATCATGGAGGCCGCGAGGACGGGGGATGTACAGTGGCTGGAGAAACTCGTGGAAGACGACTGCTATAATGTATGGGACGCTGCAGTGGTTGGTGCCAAGAATGGCGACATTGACGTAGTTCGTTGTCTTCTGGAGTCGATTTATGACCCTGAAAAGCGAAACAAGGGTTTCCTGGGAAGTTCTCCAGGCGGCTGCTGAGCATGGCCATTGCGGGGTCATCGATTTGGCCTGCCCTGTTGAAAGGCTCGACCCCTATAAACAGCCTCCGGGATCCCTTGCAAAGCATAGGAGCGACACGTTATCTGCTGCCGTTGTCAACGGGCATGCCCACGTGGTGGACCTGCTGCTGGACCCGTACGAGTATCACTGGGATATCGGGAAAGCGCTCGACGATGCCATCCGTGTTGACAACAAGCCACTCATGGAAAGGTTGTATCGCGCGTATCCAGAATTTGTACAAGGCGATTGGTACGAGCGTAACGCGCCAGCGAGCATGCTTGGTGAGGCTGCGCAAGAGGGTCATTTGAACGCGGTGAAGTATCTAATCGAGCGCGGACATGACTCTCTGGAAGATGAGAATCGGGCGTTTATTCGAGCAGCGCGGGGTAATTGCGTTGAAACGATGGCACTCTTTCGAGATCGTGGGCGGATTTCTGTCGAGACGTTGAATAAGGCATTTATACTCGCCGCATACTTTGGTTCAACTGAGGCGGTGATGTTCTTACACGAGAAGGAGTCAATTTCGCCCGAGTCCATCGCAGCGGGATTCGAGCTTGCAGCGTCGAACGTGTCATACTGCTATAGAGGGCCGCGGGTGACCAAGGAACAAGAAGTAATCATGCGCTTCATGTGCAGCAACGGACTAGTTCCCCCGGACCTGTTTTCGGAAGTTTTCCTGAGCGCAGCAAGCAACGACAAAGCTAATGTACTCAAAAGCTTGCAGGTCGCGCAGACCATCCCTTCGGAGTTGGCCACGCAAGCTCTAATGGGCGCCGCCCAGCACTTTAGGCTGAAAACGCTCTGGTATGTGCAGCAGTCTCACGTGGTCGGAGGACGTCCTACTCTCAGCCCTGAGCTGTGCAGCGAACTCGGGATCGGAGCGAATTGTGCGGGCAAAGCTAGATAGCACATTAAGACGCTAAATCTCTCCCCATACTTTGACTTCAATGCTTGATTCTCTTGAATTCGTGTGCGTCTGACCTCATTTTCGTATGAAAACTTTTGGGTTTCCTGTGGTCTGCGCGCACACGAATTCTTTTTGCCTATGGCGACCTTTCCATACAAACTGCTGTTACGCTAGAGTCCTTACGAATTTGTGTGCGTCAAACGCACAGAAAAACTACTGTGAGCCTCGAAACTCAATACCACTCCATACTGATCGGAGCAGCAAGAGTCGTGCTACGGGATTAATCGCTAGATAGAGATCTCTGGGGGTGCGCGCGGATGGTTGTGGGCTCTATATCGAGACGACCGAAAGTGTTTGCCGTGCATGACCACGTTCACAATTCCCAAAAGTCAATAAAGGGCAGACTGGCAGCCGCGTCCTGCATTAGCGCCCAGCCGGCGTCGCCAGAGCGCGACATCAATCCTTGTGCTACTGCATCCACGCTAGGGACGGCACGGCAGGGATCGGACAATATATATTGGATATTGATTGTCGGCGAGGCAGTCATCACAATCAAGATTGTACCAATATCAATATTTGCCCCAATATATTGCCATACTTGCCTTTAGTATAGCGATATATTGTACTGTACTAGAGTATACGAGTACGTTGAGTAATGTTAGCATGAATCGCCATGGCACTTATCTCCAATGGTTAGCGAGTCTTTACCCCTAAGTGTACGTGTCCGTACATGATTGACGGGCTTCCTAGTGTCTAAAGCGAAAGTGACGAGACAGAAGCATCGACGAGCAATGTTGGAGTTGTTTGATTGTTTGTTTGGTTTTTGAATTGAGGATCGTTATTGTCACTTAGCTAACATACTCAAGTTAAAAGGTCAAGATCATCGCACCATGCGTCTCTCCTTCGTTCCGTTACTGTAGCTCTCTCATCTGATCGTTAGCACACAATACAGTCAAACCTGTTTATATGAGGCCCTGTTGGTGGCCATCTACTACAATGACTCATATAAAATGGACTCAGTTAAACAAATTATGTGGTGCACGTAAAGAAATCGTGCATATAGTTCGCTGCCGCTTTGCCTTCACCGTAGTCTCTCGAACCAAAGCGGTCACGGTCTGTAAAGCTCTTCGTTCTCTGTCAGTCTGCTCTCCGCATTGCAGCAAAAATGCAGCCAGCTCCATGCAGTGTCTCAGAGCAATGGCAGGTTGAAGTGCGGGTTCCTGTTCCTCCTCTTCCTCCTAAGCGCTCCGCCAGCTCATGCGCCTTCAGCAGGAGCACGTCGTCCGCCATCGCCGTTTTAGCTTCGTTCTGAAAGAAAAATTCCCTCAGTTCCCGCTCGAACTGAGGGAATTTCACTCGGCGCCGCTTGGTCGCACTCAGGTCGACGTGGCTGAAGTAGGAAGAAGGCAGGTTGCGCAGTCGGGCGAGTGTGGCACGGCTGACCCGGGCCTTGAAAGTTGCGTAGATCCACTCGGCGAGCATGGGGTTGTTCATGCCAGGATTCTGCTTGAGCTTTAGGTGCACTTGAAGCTTTTGTTCTAGCGTCAGACAGGTGCGAGGAGACATGGCGAGCGAAGAAGGCTTGCGGTAGGCGTTGAGTGTTGAGCAGTGGTGCTTTGAAGAGTGTGTGGCCGTGAGCAGTGTGAATCATATAAACAGGTGAGACCTAATTTGGTCCCCAAAAATGTGGCTCATATACCTTGTATGCATATAAACAGAGATCATACAAAAACTAAGTGAAATATTTGGTAGCGACAAAGCCTGCATCAAATAAACGGCATGGCTCAAATAGAGAGGATCATATAAACAGGTTTGACTGTATAGTTCAAAAATGAGCACTGTATACCTTACCTGCAAAATGAATGAAATAGCTCTCTCGTTGCTGACGCCAACGCAGCCATTGGACGCTGACCAGGGTGTTATGTCACCGATGGCCTCATCACATCAGGCAACCTCAATTGGTGACTTTCGGTTCCTGAGAACCCACCACGATAAAGAAGAGCGGGGCTTGCTGGTACCAGCCTCACACAGGTTTGGCTGAAACATCATTTCCGTATCGATGCACTTCGATGTGCGCAACTATTTGTTCAATTACGCATTCTCGGGCAGATGCTGCGGCTGCGAAGCAGGCGCAGTAGATGCCCACGTTAGAATCTATGAGACTCTCAGTCCCATGGAGCACCTTGAAATCCTCTCCGGCGACCGCAGCGAGGAGCAGGAGAGCTTCAGTGACACAGCTACAAGTAGATTAATCATAAAACAGGAGCGACTTGCTTGGTGTGGGTCAAATTAGGATGTGTTTATTTTTTCAAGTGTTGTTGTAGGGGAAAGCTCCGCAAGCAGTAAACCCCCCGTGGACTCTTCCTGACTACATTGACCTCAGCGAATCACAACAACTGCACGCATGCAGGAGTCATTCTCAGAAACCCTCGGGTCTCTTCGAGTAGCCATGGTCCTCAACCACCACTTTGTTCCTCAGTCACGGCCAACACACAGTTGCTGCAGACTAAGTTATCCTCGAAATCACACTCGCGTTCTCGTACTCCCACTTAACTTAGGATGCACAACATGTACTTGGTCAAACCGCATTTGCCAAAGTACTGGCCATCCCAAGCGCACACGCTCCTATACAAAAATAAAAAACTTACCACTGTAGCCTCAGGTAGGATTTCATCAAACACACCAAGCATACCAACCCGCAGCCGATATCACCATTAAACCACTGATCGCTAGCACGCAGCCAACCCAACAGCGTGTATTCAACATCATCAGCCCGCAGCTGACTTCCTCCGTTTCCGACAACTCGAGCCGGAAACTCGAAGCAACACCATTCACCTTGTCGGTCTGATCGCAGCACAGCTACCCCCAATTCACAAGGTATTTTCATCCGCAAGCACGACACATCGACCGTATTCATTCGGAGGTAACATGACGGCCAAGTTGTCCGACGCATCTGCCAACCAAACTTGTGCCAACCGCTCACAACTATGAACAATAGCTTCGGCCATCGCACACGACCGCAACCGTATAGATGTTCTTTGCACCTAGTCGTTCATCAATTCACACTCGGTGAATCGAGTATAGAATGAGACTGTCTCCCACTCCATCCAATCTGTTCTCAGAAATCCAAAGTTTATCACCAACTCGGAAGACATTGGCGTTGTCTGCCTCTGCAGCACACAACCTCGCTCTGGGATATTTGACTGGAGTCCTCGCTCTCGGCAGCATCATCAAGTAAAGTGTAGACACTCTCAGGTACTACCTTGATCTAGAACGCATCTAGTTTACCCCACAACAAAGAAGCTTTCTCGTACACGCATTTTCGTCATCCTCCACGGGTTACTCGTCCACCACGGTAGACTGTGATGACATCGTACATCACCCGATGTTTACTTAGTTCGCTCGACAGCACTCACACTAGACATAAATCTTCTCGTGCCACACTCTCGGTGCACTGAGCAATGCACTGCCGTTCATTCGACTCCGCTCGTGAATCAATATGACTGACAAGGTCCTTAAACCGCCTCTTGTGCTTCATGGGATTCACCGCATTACTCCTACTACGAACTCGCACGTCCTCGTTCGCGCATTTCAGCACATTACTCCCATTGAATACTCCATTCACACTCTCGGTGCAATTTGAAGCGCAAATGTAGATCAACTCGAGATTAGATTCATTTCTGCGACCTGTATCGAGACCGCCCACAGCGATCCTTCACCCCACTTTCCTAAAAAAAGTTTGACGAATTCGCAATTAAAATTGGGTCCAGGCTTCTCAATTGCAACTCAGCATTGCTGCTCATCCAGTGTGGCTACTCGTAGCGAACATAGCTGTCTTTAATTACTTCCACTGAGCTGTAGCCAACCATGCCACGTCCTCTCACGCTCGCTGCAGCTCACAACTGTCCGCCGCTGTACACAATAATGTCCTCACAGGGATTTGAACAACTCAGCTCTTCCAATGCATCGCTGTTTTTGTACGCAACAATCACAGTAATTCTTCATAAACATAGCTGATTTCCACAACTCCATTTCTCCCACTGAATCAGCGATCTGTTCATCTACCCAAGTCGGCACAACCGTGCGTGGGAAATCCGTGGGCACACCACAGACTTTGTACATTTGCAAGTCAATTACGTCCAACAGCGTCGCCATATTTCATGGTACTCGCTTATACACAGCTCAACGCCGCATACTGCCACCCACGCTCAGCGGAGTTCGGAAACCTTGCGAGAGACTCACTCCCGCTACAAATGTCGTGTCACAACTTCTGGTCAGGTAACACCTCGAATACCAGTCGAGCTCGGTGGGGTTCTACTCGGTCTCTCCTCGTTGATATTCTTCTTCCACTCGAAAGCAGCGTGCCGGTATCACTTGCGAGAGACTCACTCCCACTACTTTCAACGAGCCACCACGAGGTTCAGAAGCATCCTCGGATGCAGCAGTCCTCACCACGCCGGACATGCAAGCAGTACACCAAAGCACGAGATTGATCGTCCAACTCGACCGTCCTCTCCAAACTTCGTCGATTGGCAAAATATCACCTACTTTGGCATAGCGGATACAAAATCAAATCACGCTGTTGTCGCTGCCCGCTAGGCAAGCCTGCACTCCCACTATCACTGTCGCTGCTGCACAAGTTTCATCATTCATGTTTCCTTCTCCTCGCGTACCATACCACAAATCAAATGCTACTTGCGAAGCCTCAAACGCTGTCCACAGCTGTTTTAGTACGCGAACTAATCTTGCAGACCTTCCTTCGAGTCGCTCAGGATAAAACACAATCAAAAGCATGCGTCTTAAGCAAACTCATTGCTCTTCAGACACACGTTGCCATTCGGCATTCGCGACATCAGGACCGTCAACCCCATCACACTATCGAGCGGCCTCGCCACCAGACTCAACTCGGGTTCCAACTATCCCCAGCACATCTCAGAGCCTTCGCGGCCGCGGCCACCTCACGCACCACAATAATCACATCCACGCATCCCGACGCAGCCTTCGCAACTTTATCAGCTTCCAAACGCTGAATACCCTCACTAAATCATCAATTCCAACTCTCACAAGAGCGGCGTACGGCCGTGGTGTCCGTACTCTCCAGCTTTACCGACATGGGCCATCGGTTTGCACTCAGCGACAATATCACACCATGCAAAAGGCGTCATGATTGACTTGTGCATCGGGGGGGGGGGGGGGGCACATTCGCACTGCACCGCTTCGTACCGCTTCACCATACCATCGCTCCCGATCCCAGCAGCCTCAACACACGCGCAATCTAATCATCACTTGCAACTGCATACCCACAAGCGCTCACGCTTTGGGCTCATAACCTACGAGACTCTCAGTCCCATGGAGCACCTTGAAATCTTGTCCGGCGACCGCAGCGAGGAGCAGGAGAGCTTCAGTGACACAGCTACAAGTAGATTAATCATAAAACAGGAGCGACTTGCTTGGTGTGGGTCAAATTAGGATGTGTTTATTTTTTCAAGTGTTGTTGTAGGGGAAAGCTCCGCAAGCAGTAAACCCCCCGTGGACTCTTCCTGACTACATTGACCTCAGCCTATCACAACAACTGCACGCATGCAGGAGTCATTCTCAGAAACCCTCGGGTCTCTTCGAGTAGCCATGGTCCTCAACCACCACTTTGTTCCTCAGTCACGGCCAACACACAGTTGCTGCAGACTAAGTTATCCTCGAAATCACACTCGATTGCTCGTAGAATCAACTAGAGAGTTGGGCTGGTAGTGCTCTTAAGGATTAAAAACAAAACAACTTTGGGATTTACTCAACTATTATCCGTTATCATCGTCCATGAAACTATTAGTCGACCTGTGTACCCTCCGGGAGCAACGCTCCGGGTTGCCTATTAGGTGGTGGTAAACTTGTGACTCTAGCACTCAGCTACCTATCGGTGCTGCTGCTAGCTCTCTGGTTCACCCACGGTGGATGAACGACTCTGGCTGGGTGGATCCCCGAGTCGCCACTCGAGCGATAGCAGACGCCACGGGTCCGCACCTTTAAAAGGGTTAGCGCGAAAGTGAAATGGTTTATGAGCTCCTCGGTGCGTCGAGTTCGGGCTTAAAGACCAGCGCGAGAAGCTTGCCAAGGTGACCGACAAGACGTCGTTGGCTAGTCAAAGTCGCACACCACTTCGATTAAGTACGATCCCAGGATATGATTCTCCGACTTGACAACCGAACATTGAGCTAATATTAACTGTTGTTCAAGAAGGCGATGTTCGGTGTGCCCACATCCATTGATGCTGTGGCGTTCCGCTGCAAAACTCCTGTTGGCGTGAGACGGATGGCCACACTTCGTACATGTACAAGATTGTTTGATGAGCTATATTTCCCCGAATGCCCCAATTTGTGCTGGGTGACCAACTATGGATCTTGGAGTATGACGCCAGTTTTCACTCAGAGACCTGCCGTTTGAGAATTGTCAACCAAAGACCACCGAAAAGAGGCCTTGCATCACAGATGGCGTGACGCTAAGCAGGTAGAGCTTACCATCACGACACGGTGGATGCTTACTGTATGTCATGGGGTTATCCTAAACATCAATTGGGGCAAGACGCCGTCCGTACCGGAATATCACCTGAATTCCGATTGGCTAAAAATGCTACCGAGCGTAGCGAAGGCGACCCCACCATACGATGTTGCGGGGCCGCAGGACCCGCCCTGGCCTCTGTAATACTAACCTGACATTGAGAGTAGTGCCGCGAGCCGACGAGGCGGGCGGAACGGGTCCGGCACTGCCGTAGCGAAGCGTAGGCAGTCTGCTCCAATAGCGGAGCGAGCATAGCGAGCGAAGCGCCAACAAACTAAAAAATCACCGCCGCGTCGCGGCGGCGCTCGGCTAGTGATAATGCTAAATAAGTAAGCATACTGGCTGATGGGATGCTAAGCGTAGTCTGAATCCCCCACAAAGGGTGAAGCTGTAGTTGTGTCGAGTCTTGTAAACCCCACACTCACTTTTCAATTGACCTCCGCAGCCCCAAGGCAAGTCCACGACTGCAAATTGTACGCGAAACACGATGCGTCAATCCCTCCCCCTGGCGGTACTTGTCGTCGCCCTTGTCATGCTCACTTTGAGCATCGACGCTGCCAATGCAGAACATGACGAAACGATGCGTGAGGCGAGGCGGGTGAACGCTTTTGTCGCCCAGGGTGTATAGCGTACGTCCGTAGGCTTATACCCGGGAGGGTTTAGCTTACGGAAACCCGAAACTCACAATGAATATAAGCTCCGGTTGACGTGTGACCTTGTGCAATCCCTATAGGTGTCGTTTATGTCCGGCGGACCGAGTTTCAACCTTGGGAATCGCAATTGATCAAAGATACAGGAATGCAGAGAACTTCCGGGCGCTACTCGTTCCGGGAGTCCTGAATGGGAGTGAGATCACGAGCAAAGACCTTCTCCAAAATAACCAATATCAATACAGAGTCTGTACACACAATATGCAGCCTGTCAATTTTAGGTTGCACCCCGAATACAGGTAAATTCGGGATGCCCCACGCGCACCACTCCTGAATGTCAGGAGAACAATACAGGTACCTTCCTACCACACGCAATCTACAATCGGGTCCTAGGGGGCGATTGCCACAACCTCCTAAAACACAGGGAATATGAAATGCAAGCGCACACTGAGAGTGTACGCCGCAACTGGGAAATGAAACAGGTGTACCAACCCGAATGGGCAATACGTTTGGGTACCTGACTTGGCTTGATGATGTAGTGAGAAGTTTTCGGGGGCCTTGGACCAGGCGTTACTCAACGCTCGCAGCGGGGCTCCTAATGGTACACCCTCTCGTGGGCTCCTAGGCGGCACACTCTCCCGTGGGCGGCGGCTGTCCTTAGGCGAATCACGAACCAGGCACTTGTGCACTTGAACGCAAAACAAACTCTGTTGATCTTTATCATCTTCTCTCTCTCTCTCTCTCTCTCTCTCTCTCTCTCTTTTTTTTTTTTTTTCGTTGTATACTTCTCTTCTTCTTCGTATGGTCCTGTTACCTTGAGGGCCGCTGGATTCTTCACGCGGTCTCCTCTGCTCATATCTTCATACACTTGTTCGGGTTCTCTTGGCTTCAGTATACCCGGGCGTCGCGGCGCGGCGCATACTCATCACTTGATGTCGGAGGGACTCGGGTGCCTGACCTGGGGATCTGCTGCACTGCTGACACATCGGACTCAGACCGACTCACTCTCCATAGTGAAACCAAGTCACGCTCGGAACTGGCACCTTGGTCGCTGACTTCGCTGACTTGGCACGTTCCTGGGCGTTGGTCCATTGGCAGATATCAACAGTGTCTTGGGACTTCTCCATTCAGGGCAGTCATAGTCCATTCAGGATGATCGGCACTTGGGCACTCCGGGCGTTGTCCATTCAGGATGATCATCCGCCATTCGGGGTAGTTACATTCCATTCGAGCTGTGGGTTGTCCATCCAGGCTGCCGTCGACTCCACGAGCTTCAGTGGCCACTTGATCTCGCTGCTTGGGGTCCTCAACTCGTTGTCGGGTCACACTCGGGGTTTTCGTAGTCGCACTATCCTGGATGTTCATCTTCAACATGGTGGTGGTACAATTCAGGGTGTTGATAGCTTGGTGCACTTGAGTAGCTTCACACTAGAGCTGCTGGGGATTCGAATTACCTTGGGATGCCTTGGCCTCGCCAAGAAGGGTAGCTCTCCGGGATACGTTCACCGGGGCACTTCATGGTCTCCCTTCGTCAGACTAGGTCGGGGCCGGACTGGGTGCTGCGCACCTCCGGCCAGTTGAGGTCAAACGCGACCAGGTATCCATACTCCACATCTCCTCCATCATGCTCGGGCGTTCCACAGGTACGCCATCCTGAATCGACCCTTCTTTCCCACACTGTCGCTCTCCCCGGATCGGCGCCGGGGCCAGCTGCGCGGACACTCTCCAAAATTTCGAGTCGCCTCGTGTCATGCGCCGCTCCCTCCGAGAAGGCAGAACGGATAGTCTGACCACCACGGAAGCCGAGGAAAGGGGATTTAAGATTCCGGGTTTCAGCAAACTGTCGTCACTGTTCAACAAGAACCCAAAAATCGGTAACGCTATAGCCTCGAATCCGTCGATCGCCAACGCCATGAAGGATCCCACGGTCACCAAGACGATCACAACCCTCAAGAACAAACCCGGACTCCTCGCCAAACTGAAGAAAACCACCACATATAAAGAAATTGCACCCAAGCTGAAGACAAACACTCTCACCACGAGGGACATCGAGCGTCTCGGAAAAGAAACGGTGAAAGCTTCCGGTAAAAAGGGTTACATGTATGGTATGGTTATTGCGGCTGCCGCCACCATAGTCGGCTTGGTTGTCATTGCGCTCATAGAGGACGCAACGAGTAAATCCGACTAAACCTGTGTAGCAACGAATGCTGATCCAATCCGTCAACAACTTATCACCGCTTCGGGGAGCCCTGGGACACGTCGATAGAAGAGATGGGTGCAGGTAATTATGCGAATGTAGTTCCTGATTGAGTCGTCACTCGCGGCCTCCAAGGCTTGTTGCAGCACGCTCAGCGACCACTCTCCGTTTCCATTTTGGTTCAGCGCCTCTATGAGTTGTAGTTGCTCCCGTGCTGTCCGCCACAAACACAAACGCCACGTCCTTAAAATGTCGAGGTGCATACGATTCCACAGATAGGTAGTTCGCGAGTGCGGTCGCAGTTTGAAGTTGGTTTCGAGCAGCGGCGATGACGAATGCGACACAAATCGCCGCAGGAGAAACAAGTTGGCTGTCAAACAGTCCCTTCATCTGATTGCCGTTTTCACTAAACACCGATTCCACGAAAGCCTTATCCAGCGTCTCACTCAGAATACGAGAGTCGCTACGCACTAAATCCACGAATGCAGAGTTTCCCTGCGTGGCTGCAACCACGAGAACGTCGGTGAGCACTTGAGGCGAAATGCACTCCCTCTTGTGCAACAGTTCGAGGATCGCAAATTTATCTCGAAAATCGACCGCGACTGCATGTTCAAAGGCGGCAACAGTCGCGTCATCTGAAACTTGCTTCATCTCGAGCAACCGTTTGAGTACGGCAACGTCGTGCGCATCACGAAATATTTTGTAGATGATCCGCGGGCCGGGCGCTTTATTTCGTAGAGAATGGGGAGAACTTGAATTGCTTTCCCTGCTGAAATAGCGGTCTTTTTGAACACTTCGTCCAAATATTCCGGCGAGATTTCGAACGAAGTCCACAAGAACTGCACGACTGCGACGGCACCAGCCTTCGCCGCCTTCTTAAACGCCTTGTTCACCAAATACAAATCCACTCCCTTGTCGAGAATATACCTGACGGCATCCACGCTATCGTCGACTGCCAGCTCCAGAAGCAGCCCAGTCCTCTCGTGACGTCTCAGCGGATAGACGTCATAAATTCTGTCCCCCAAGTCGTTCAGTCCGGCGCCTAACGCTACACAAAACGCAGTGACAAAGTCAAAGATGACGCCGTCCACACCCCGATCCAGTAAATACCACGCGACGTCCACATTATTGCGGCCGCCAAGGCGGGCGATTCCTCGCTTGGATCCACGAACTCCACCAAGAGCGGGGCCGCGTGTGTAACCAGAAAGTCCACGACGGCGAGTTTGCCGTGTGCTGCTGCATCCTCCAGCACTAAAGTGACTGTAGATGCTGCGTCTTCCATCTTGTGTGTACTACTTGCAGCCAGGAAACACGTCACAAGCAGCTGCAGAACAGCGAGGTGCTCGTGCTCCCCAGCCGCCATCAGCGCGTACTGTAAGGCTTCCCACGTATCGCTATCTGGCTCGCTCGGGGGCTTCACCAACTTGTCCAGCAGCGCTTCAAGCACTTCCGCGTGGCCGTTGGCGGCTGCAACGTACAGCGGCTCCAGCAACTCGCACTCGAATCTGCCCAGAAGCTCCTGTACCCATGTCCAGGCATCCCGAAAAATAATATTGCCCGAAAATATAACAGTATTTTCGGATACCATACTGTATTTAGGGCATCGCCGTTTGTTTTATCCGAAATTTATGTAGCCGAGTTCTAAAATTCGGTATTTTACTTCTGCTCATCCTGCTCCAACCATTAGTTGTGGTCAAACATCGCGCTCTACCAGCGTAACTTTGCCGTTAGCCCTCACTTTCAACAAGCACCACCCAGCACGCGCATCACGACTCGACGTTAGCACTATGACCGGCAATCTCCTCGCTGGCCCCGCTTCGAGGCCTACCTTCTCGCCCAGGCAGATTGCTGCCTTCTACTTCAAGCCCTGCCTGGACGAGGAGGGAGAGACGACGGGCTACTATGCCTGCAAGACCTGCGCTAAGCGCGGCAAGCACGCGCCCAAGTCAGGCTACAGCAACTTGGTGTCGCACGTGCGGGCGGCGCACCCCAACTACGAGAGCGACATGCGCGACGCTAATGTCGCTGCGACGGGGACCCTACTGCCGTGGGTCACCCAGAAGGCCTCGAACCGCTACACGTGGCTGCGCTGGGTCGTCACGGGCAATCTACCGCTGTCTTTTTGCGAGTCCAAGGAAACGCGACAATACGTATTTTCATATCTATTTTGGTGATTTACATGTCGTATGTTATGTAGATACACGAAGCTAAATCCCATATCCGTGGAGACGCTGACCGCCATCATGGAGGCCGTGACCAAGGCCGTGGAGACGATGATCGGCGACGCCATGCCCGAACGTTTTAGTCTGGTCCTTGATGGGTGGACCCACGGCACGGAGCACTATATGGCAGTGTATGGCTGCGTTGAGACGGCGACAGGCTCCCAGTACCCGCTGCTGTCGTTAGCGTCCATCATGGATGAGCCGAACGACCAGCTGAGCGCTGACGGCCATCTGACGGCGATTAAAAGGTTCCTACCCTTTTTTGGTAAGTCTATCTCCGGATGTCTATTCCTGGTTGGTGACAACTGCGGAGTAAACAAGCGGCTAGCGAACCTACTCGGTGTGCCGCTAATCGGCTGTGCCAGCCACCGCCTGAACTTGGCGGTGCGAGACTACTTGGAGCCCCACGACAGCATCCTCGAAGAGGTCCAGCAGCTTACGCGTACGTTGCGGACTTTAAAGCAAGCAGCCAAGTTGCGGTAAGTACTCTGTTTGCTGTTTTATTTGGTTTTTGAATTGGTACTAAATTGGTCTTTGTTTTTGGGTTTTGTTCGAAATTAGTGCCAAGACCCCATTGGCCGCTGTCCTCAGACATGACACGCGCTGGTCGTCGACCTTTTCAATGCTCAAGCGCTATTTTCGGCTCCGTCCGTTCATTTCGGCGGACGACGAGGAGCTCGCGGACTTCCTTCCGTCACGCTTAGCCCACCGCAAGCTGGAGACTTTGCTGGCAAGCCTTTGGGACGTCGAGTTCGTGTCCAAGCACCTGCAGGGCGACGGCCTTACGCTGCTGAACGCTCGTGTCCTATTCGACGAGCTCCTCAAGAGCCACCCCTCGTTCGCGAAGTATCTCGGAAAGGATCATCGCTCCCTCTGCGTCTGATGGTATTTCTACTCAACTACTGCGTTTTATATGTTTTTATTTATGCATAGCCACCGATGCGGATATAGTCCACTCCGCCGTCTTCGAGCTGGCGGTCGTCAAGGTGCTGGCCAACCAGGCGGCCCTGCTGACGGACGACGAAGTCGCTGCGCTGGAGCCGTTCAAGCGCACGCAGGCTCATGTGGAAGGCGTGGACTACACGGCGGCGGATAAGGAAGGGTTCGCTGTGCGTGCGCTCAAGCGACGCAAAGTAGCTGCTGCGCCGGCCACGTACGAGCTACTTAATGCGATTCCTCCTACCTCAAACATGGTTGAGAGGCTCTTCAGCATTACGCGCGCTGTGCTGCGCCATGAGCGCCACCGCCTCTCCCCCATGATGCTAGAGATGATCTTGTTCCTCGAGATCAACAGCTCGTACTGAGATGTTGCGACCGTGGAGCAGTGCCTGTAAGTAGGTACAGTCGTAACATGATTGCAGTAATTTACTGTGTCAACACTATGTCTTGGGTTATTTATTTAGTCTGCTACTCGGATGCAATGCAATATTTATTATGGTGTCCGGCAAACAATAGATATATATCGTATTTTCGGCATGCCTGCCCATGTCACGTGGCCGAACGCCGCCGCCTCCAGCATGGCTTTGTCCGGGCTCAGCAGGAGGTCTTCGAGTTGCTGCAAGACGTGCGCAAGGGCCGCGATGTCGACTGGGAGACGAACAATTTTTGACTATCCACTTTTGTGACTACGGTTCCGACCAGCCACTCGTTGCATGAAAACTAGCTACTAGTGGCTAGTCGAGACGCAACAAGTAGCTAGCCAGAAAATCAAACGCCAATCCAGGACGAATTATTGACTAGCCACTTCATAGTGGCTAGCTGACACGCTAAAAGTGAATACTCGAGTCGCTCAATGCGCATAGTAGCAAAATACAAATGTGGTATCAAAATTAATCATCGAGTGGCCACTTTTTCATTGGTAATGTGAAATTAGTCCACGGTGCAACGAAGTGAACAAGTGGATAATTATTTTTCCGAATGAAGGAAGGCACGACGAAACCCGACACGCCGTCAGCCGACAGGAACCTCTGTCGGATAAGACAGTCAAGCACCGAGAGCAACCTCGCGGCTCATTCCGCGTCCTGCGTCGCCGAGCGCAAGCACCTCGTCCGACACGAGTCGACCTCCAGTCACACTGTCGTGACCGACACGCCCCGACACGCCCCAGCTCCGCGCCGCCAGTTCGATAGACAGATTTTCTAAGCATCTATTCTATTCTAAGTGATCCTTTCTACACACAATCTCATTTCAACATGCTTCATTCTGCTACAGTCGGACCAACAAGCTACGCTAAGATGGCCGGGAAATCAGCGCACGCGCGGACCCTCAGCTACGATTGCCATTCAGAAGGACAGTCGGAAGACCTGTGCCAGTGACCTTTATAACTAGCACTGCGACCGTGACGCCAAGGGCGAGCTGCACATGCAGTTACGGCTTCACTACAATATCACAAGGCTGTCGACCCGCGGCTGGACGAGCCGCTGACGTCTTGCGAATGCGTGTTATGACGATGGCGACAATGCGCAGCTCCCGACGGTGGGCTCGGAGATTCCATCACCGCTATCCCAAGTTGGGATTCCCAACCACGATAACACCCACCGCCTGCTACCCCGACCACTACGACTACGACGACGCCCCCACTCAAGTACGCTGGTATCCTGACGACGAAGCTTTCGAGTATCGTGGTGCGAAGACAAGAAACTCTGCGAAGAGGTGACTGTCAAGCTCCGCGAGCAGTGACCTCTTTACCAACTACTACCCAAGTCAGGTCTGCTTATTTCAGCGTCATACCACATGAACAAGTTACCGCCTCTACGGCTCTGAGCATTAGAGCGAACTGCTACACGAGCATCTATCTCAGCACAAACTTGTACACCTGTACCTACGACGACGATGGCCTGAGCGGCAACTACCAGCGAACTGTTGTCGTGAGTTGACACAAGATGTTCAGCACGATCTTTTCGGCGACTACCCGCAATGCAATTTCCGTCAAAGACGGCGGCATGTTGCATGAGAAGCTACAACGATCCTGACTACGCACGTACGAACGATTTCCGCCATACAACATGCAGCGGCCACCGACCCGAAGTCCCACGACAAGCAGCAGAAACTACTTTGTCCACGACGCCCCTGCGACCATGAATACTCCGACAACGACCAGCAGTCAACACGAGACCACGATACTTAGGCCAAGGGCGGCCACTACGACTACGGAGGCGAGCTGTACGTTTGCTTTCAACGCATACACCATGTGCAGCGGACTGCGCGCAGCAGCTCTGCTCGCTTCAACGCATGAACCCCCGGTGTCTTCTGTTTCCTACGACTATGACTACGGCTGCGACTGCGACTACGACTACGACAGCGGATTGACTACGATATCAGCAGCGGGATGCGCAGCTCCGTTCGTTTTCGACGGCTACCAGCTCATTCTCGTCCGCTTTTCCCGACCACCCTTTGAGCAGAGCCTCGGCGGCCTGTCCGTGCAGCCCCGTACGCCTTGACGCCTACGAACTCGGTGTCATCAATTTACTCATCAGCGGCGGGCTACGTGCAATTCCGCTCACCATCAACGACTAACTCTGCGAGTCTGGTGACGACCTGCACGTGCAGTCTTGCGTCCACAACGTCGATGTCCCCAGTGGCGGGGCTGTACGTGCAACTCATTTTGTATTCAACGCTTACGAATATGGTGCCGTCCGTCTACTGCGACTACGATATGCGGCGGGCTGTACGTCCAGCCCCACACGCCTTCGACAACTACGACCTTAAACTCAGCGACTACGGTATCAGCGGCGGACTGTTCTGTTCGTTGCCAACGGTTTTCAACTCGGTCCCGCTCGACTTTTACAATGACGATTCGAGCAGCGAGCAGTACGTGCAGTTCTACTCGTCTGTGAAAACTACGACTACGATCCTGGCGACTACAACATCAGCAGCGACAGCCTGTACGGGACTCTCCATTGGCTGTCAGCGATTCCACGCGGTCTCAATCTCCATTACAGTTGTACCAGCGGGTTTCACGTGCAGCTCTGTCGACTACGACTACGCATCCAGCGGCGATCTGCACGTGCAGGTTTACCCATCTATTTCGACTAACTACGACATCGGCGTCGGGCTGTATTCAATTTCAACATCGATAACTCGGTCTTGACCGGCTTTCAAGTTTATTACTTCAGTAGCGGGCTGTAAACACGCAGGCCCGTCTGCTTTCGACGGCTACCCAGCTTATGCTTGTCCGTCTACTACACCGTCAAGTCGAACAGCGAGTTGTACGTACTGTTCGATTGCTTTCGACGCCGAAGAACTTCGCGCCGTCCGGCCACTGCTACTACGACCAAACCAGTGGCGTACATCTCCGTCCGATGTCAACGACCACCATCTCGGTGTCTCCGACTACGTGTTGACATGCAGGCTGTACGTGTAGCCCGGCTCGCGAATTCGGTGGTGAGCTGCACATGCAGTCCCGTTCATCTACTACGACTAAAACTACGACACCAGCTGCGGGCCGTACGTGCAGATCGACTGGCTTTCGATGACAACAAACTCGGTCTCCCTCGACTTCTACAATTACGACTTGAACGGCGGGCTGTGCGTGCAGTACCGTCCGTTTGACGAGCACCAACTCATGCTCGTCCGTCCACTACGGCTACGACTCAACCAGCGTGCTGTGCGCACAGCTCGCTTCATTCCCGAACACATACATCTCGTCGGCTTCCTTCGTCTTCTTCGTTTACGAGTTGAGCAGCAGACTGTACATGCTGTTCCGCTGTTTTTCGACGGCTACAAACTCGATCTCGCTCGACTGCCACAACTACGTCATCAGCAGCGGACTGTACGTGCAATCCCGCTCGCATCTACGCACACAACGACGGCGGCGAGCTACACGTGCAGTCTCGTCCGTCCACTACGACTACGACCTCAGCACCGGGCTGTACGTGCAGTCCCGATCGCATCTACCAACACGACTACGGCGGCGAGCTGCACGTGCAGTCTCGCCCGTCCACTACGACTGCAACGTCTGCAGCGGGCTGTACGTGCAGTCCCGTTCGTCTTCGACTACTACGAGTCGGACGTCTAGCTGCACGTGCAGCTGGCCTCTTGGCCTCTTCTACGATTACGACGACGACATCGACTATGACTACGACATGAGCGGTGGGCTGTACGTGCAGCTCTGTTTGCTTTCAACGACTATAAACTCAGCGTTCAGCGCTCGCTGACGCTGCGCTTCACGAACGACGTGTAAGTGCCGAGCCCCAGTATGGGGACTTGGCGTGGATCCCACCGACACCCGATGACGTCGAGAGACTCTTCTCGCAGGCGGGGATGGTGTACAGTGACCAGCGGATGTCGATGCTGCCGGATACGTTGGAACTTATCCTTTTTCTGCGCTTCAACCGCTCGCTCTGGAACGAAGTCTCCGTCGCTCAAGTGCTTCGCCGCCAGGAGCAGTCGCGCAAGCGCAAGCGCCAACTAACACTTTTTGAAGACGGTCAGACATTAGTATAAGTTGCTTAGGGAAATGACCATAGGTGTACGGTCCCTATCCGAAAGATATTGATGGCACCTGTTCCCTCCGCTTTCCCTGATTATTTTCGATGCACTGTAACCCACTGGCCAAACGCTTCACACGTACGCGTCTCGCATTTCCCTTCAATGCTTAGGCCCTTCTGGGCTCTGAGCCACCTTGGAGCGTTTGGATTGAAATCCCGCTTGACCAGGATCGAGTCGTTTGAAACATCCGCAAAGCGTCGAGTTGGGACTGCGCCTCTACACAATTGCAGCATCAGGTCCACAGTCTCCCCGTTTCGAAGGTCGTAGTCTGACAGCTTGCAGTGATCCTGAAGGCGTGCGTTCTTGTAGACGAGAAGCCGTTCCTCAGGAGAAATTCCTTCGGAGTCTCGAACTCGAAGTTTCCTCGTGCAGACACCAAATGTCTGATGGGAAGAACATTTATGGAGATGATGGAGACGCAGCCAGAGCATCCGCAGCCGGTTCCACGGACGCCAACCACTCAGCATCTTCTATTCTTTGGCGGTGGATCACGAGGTAATCCAGGCCCTGGGGGTAGCGGGGCAGTTATTGTACGGCGTGATCCTGAAACAAATGCGCATGAAGTGATATGGGTCAGCAGTATGTCGTTAGCTCAACGACGAACCACGAACAATCGTGCAGAGTTTGTTGGACTAATCATGGGTCTACGGCGAGTGGAGCAACTGCAGCTTCCTAATGTGCATGTAGTGGGTGACAGCGCAATGATAATTGGTATGCTGCAGTTGCGACGGACTCCTCGGTCTCGATCACTGCAAGGACTTTACTTGGCGTCACGACGGATGGCAGATCGAATTGGGGTTCGCAGCTGGACGCATCACTACCGCAACAACAATAAGATGGCTGACTGTTTAGCCAATATCGCTATGGATTCACAGCGAAGCGTGCAGTTTGCCCCGTCCGCTGGCTACGAGACGTCATTCTTTCCGATGGACACTGTTTTGAATTACTTGGAAAACGATGTGAATCACTGCAGCCGCCGACGGTGGCGAGCAAGAGCGGTGATTTCGATGCATTAATCTACATTTTCAACTAGGACTCTGACTGAGTCGAGTCTTGTACCCCGATCTCAAATGCTATACAGAGAACGGAAGGGAGTTCAGGTTCAGCACGGCGCGGTAGGAATAATAAACACCAGCGTAGTGTAAGTAACCTAAATACACCTTGTTCTATTCGAACTCGAAGTTTCAGGCAGGAAACGGTCTCAGACGAGGCGCATCGGATGAACGAGCGCTTCCCGGTCAGCGTCTCAATACGAACAGTGAGGTCGGTGTCCAGAGTAGACCGCGCTCTCATCGTGGCAAGGAGCCTCGGGCTGCTGCCAGCTAGGTCAGCCATCAGGGGATCGAGACGCTGGTGCGGGAGTCACCACTTGGCGCGAGACACCGTCTCTCGCAGCCACCGGAAGTATATCATAGTCGAGAATCCAGATGAGACCGCTCACTCGCGCATCTTGCTGTGGTAGATCCGAAGAATGAACTTCCAGGACGCCTTTCAAGCCGCGCTCATGTTCATCTCTCCAAAACACGAAGACGGACATGCTCCAATGCTGGGGAAAATCGAAAAGTGAGTGATCATGAGAGAAGCTCAAATACGACCACCGGTTTGCTCAGTCAAAGAAAAGTCTTGATGGGAATCGATTGAACGGTTAACGTCTTCAATTGAAGGCGTGAAAAAATTGCGTTACACTGCTCTCTGGCAAACCGGGCAGCTTGGAAGTGCGTAGTGTTCATTGCACCGCTTGGGCCATTTGTCAAAGCAACTGAGGTGGAACGCATGTCCACACGGCGCAGTAGCGATTGATCCTCTTCCGACCTTGCCCCAACAAGTCGCACACACGTTGTCCTTACTCGCGACGGCACGCTCTGAAACCAGCTTTGCTGCGTCCGAAGCGAATCTCGACTTCACAACGACCAAAAGACTCTTCCACTCAATACAGCCCAAACTTCCGCCCACGTCACAGCGGTGATACCTCTCTTCTCCTGCATCCCTCCACGTCGATATGACGGAAAAGCCGTCCGCAGCTCGGACCCCCTCGACCTTCCACGCGCAGTTGTAGAAGCCACACGTGACAGGTTTGGCCTTGGCATGGCACACGGGGCACTGGATCGCATCATCTCGCACTAGATTGAACGCTTTAAATAGCTTGCGGTGGATGATAACCTGCCCGAATGCAGCGCAATCTCGATTCTCGCACCGCCCTTCGATGTTGAGACCTTCACTGACTCTGAGCTACGAGAGGGAGCCAGAAGACTCTTGGCCGTTCGCCGCCATCACTTCAGCCGCAATCTGCGCACGAATTTGGAACGGAATCAAGTGAAGCCGTGGCACTAGGAAAATGGTGCTCTCGTTCTCGACACTGTGGGCCGATAGTGGTAGACTGGTTTGGCGTCACCGCCTCCTGTGGTCCCAGCTGCGAAGCCCGTGGGAGTTCCAACCACAAGGTAGCCAGCTACGAGGGAGTTGGGGAGGAGGAACATCATCGTGCCGAGGCGTGCACACAGACGCTGGGAGAAGAGCGTCATCTTGCGACTTTGACGTAGACTTGAGCGGCGTTCAGGCTCTGGAAATGCACGTGAGGATGAGGCAGTTGATTATAGGAATCTCTTTAAAGAGTGAGTGAGTTCAGACGTCTCGTGGAGGTACCGGGAACACGAAAGACTGCGCTCCTGGATCTTAGTCATGATGAGTTCTGTGCAAACCTATCACTTCGGTTAGACAAGTTCGGTTTGGGTCGAGATGTCGAAATCGGCCATGGTAGACAGTCTCGCATCTTCCCTGGCGAGCTGTGTCGGTTACATCCTGGAGGGGCTCCGCACCATACTTCAGATGCACGGCTCGTTGGCCATCATCCTTACAAGTTGAGCACCTTCGGGGTGGAGAAGTAGACAAAGCCGGGTTAGTCCTACACGTAGACGCAAACCATCTAGCCCTTCCAGAAAACACGAAAACGCAGCGAACCTGCACCCGGTTGCACCTGGCTTAGCACGGGAGATCAGGTATGTCTATACTGACTGCATGGCATTATGTCATTGGTATGGTAGGCCACGCGCTTGCCCTCGACGTCTGGCTTCAAAGCTTTATATTGTCAAGTAGCAAAAGCCGTTGGTGGCTCCGGACAACTTACTGATCTTCTAGTTGATGTCAGTGTAGGCTGACGGATAATACGGAAGATGGAAACACCACTAAGCCTACAATAAAACTTGCCTTCCTCTTGTTGCGACGACATCTGCGGTCTAGCTGCGTTGGCATGTATACAGCTTGTTATTATTGCTACGTACAGATCCGGCATCCCACTATAACTAGGCCTGGGTGGCTCCACGTTGAAAGGGGCCAATTTGCCCGTTGCATCATGCCACAACGAAGCTGTTTGGGCTGCTACACGCTCCAAGGGCCCCGTGGCTGTGGGGATGGTGACTCCTGGAAGGAAGACGCCTCAACACCCATGCATTCTTCCCAATGCCGTACCACCCACGGCCAGTTCCAGGACGCCCAAGCGAGCGGAGTCAGCTCCATCGACAATCTTTCCTCAGCAATGCTTAAGAAATTTGACACAAATCAGAGCTGGATCGAAAAACTTCAGTCAACGACATCAATTTTAGAGCTCGCAAAAATGTTCGGCCGGTGAAAGGTCTAGTATTCTTGCTGGGCTTTTTTTAAGAGTCCACAGTGGTTTCACATCAGGGACAGGAAATTTAACGTTGCTGAGGATGCATCTCAAACGCCAGATTCAGCGCCAGTGCTGACGATGCAGACATTTTTAAGGGGTCAGCATGGGCCAGCTATTAAAACAAAATAATGTCCCATTAACGTTGATGTGCAGCAGCTTCAAGATCCCATTATGTGCGGGATTTTTGGCAAGAATTCGGGGGGGGGGGGGGCGCCGTACGGCTGAGTGCGTTAACGTGTAATCTTTTCTCGAATGGTGGTTGATTTAGGGCCGTTCCTAACGGGATCATGTGAGGATCATGACCCGTAATTATGCTACCTGATTGGCTAAAATAGATACATATGGAGCCTGGTGCCATGACCGAGTGTACACTCTATGAGTGTAAGGAGTTCGTTAAAGCTATTGTGGAACCTAGAAGGCTGTACTTAAAGCACTACTGCAGTTTTGCGCAGTCATTCTCTACTGTAGCCATTGAAGCAGCTTGCATCAAATGCATTGTCGAAGTGCAAAGCAGCGTTCGATCGCAAATGCAAACGAACACATCTCGTGAAGCTCATAATGGCGGCCGCCCTCAACGCGAACTCGAGCCTTTCGTTATGTATTTGGACATGGATCACGATCTCGTTAGGAACGGCTTTGAGATCATGCTTCCTTCCACCCCAAACCACAGCCGAGATCATACCCCGGTGATCGCGTTAGGAATGACGCTTAGGGTCGATTTGATCAACATTAAACGAGTGTGTGGTAGTTTTTGTCAGTGAAAATTCGATCGCTGCGTAAGAAACTTTTGGTTACCGTTAACTGATTGGATTCGACTGTGGCAAGATACGACAGTTGAAATGGACCAAGAAAGTTTTATCGTCCACACCCTGCTTCAACATCCCTCGTCCAGTCCCAAGCTTGTTCGCTCAGCCTTCTTGTTGCCTGCAGTCATTCTACATTCTCCGCTACGAGATGAACCACAGTTCCACAAAACAAATGTCGGAAATGGTGTTCGCCGTCGCGTGGAAACAAGTCTACCAGCAAGGCATCGAGGGGGTAGTGGAAGTCACGAGCTATGACTTGCCGTCGGAGAATTCGAAAGTCAGCGATCTGGTCCAAGCCCTGGACCGGAAACTTCGCTCGGAACGAGTGTGCGATGGCGCCATACGCAAAGTGCGCTTTCTCCAGCTTTACGGCACTCGCCTGGATGATGACAATCGTCTTCTGGAGACGCTGGTTCCAGATCTGTTACACGGGTGTCCGCGCCTGCTGGCAAGCACGCATCTTGTGGCTGCCACAGCTTCGTGTGGCCAAGTGATCATCATCAAAACACTGACCGGCAAGACCATTGAGGTGAGCTGTCATGTTGCGAACTTTGTTGACGAAATCAAGCAGCGTATCCAGGATCAAAAGGGCATCCCGCCAGACCAGCAGCGGTTGATTTTTGCAGCCCGCCAGCTTGACGATGGGCGTAAGCTGTCGGACTACGGCATCCAGAACGGCAGTGTCCTGCATCTGGTGCTGCGATTGAGAGGAGGGTACGTTGCGCCTCGATGCTTTGCCAATGTTTCCGACAGCTCCATTCTGGTTGAGAACGAGTTCTCAGTGGAGGCTCCGGATTGGCGAATTTGCCGCGATGGGCTGAACATTGAAGGCCGATGCAAGAACCGAGCGTGTGTTGCGTACAAGCAACTGGTAATTCACCCTGCAGACTTCCAAGTGTTTAACCTCATGAAGGATGGTGGCGTCAAGTGTCCGATGTGTGGATCGAAGGTGAAGCCGCTCACGTGTGGATTCTACGACTGTGCGTGGAAGTTTGAGGGCGTGAAGGCAAGCGACCGCTTCTTTGCCAGTTCACCGTGGAGATCTGCGAGTGGCGAGACGTACCAGCGGTTTGATGCGGACGAATCCAGCGGCTCAATTGAGTGGGAAAGTCTATTGATCCTCGTCAAACCTGTGAAAGAAGCTGCCGCGGCTGGACTGGTTGAATCTGCTCAAACTGCTCGCGCCGACCACGATGTTGTCTGTGCTATCTGCTGGACTGGAATTCGCTCAGGACCTGTTGCCAAGAGTGGATGCGGCCACTCGTTTCATCGCGGATGCGTTGAAAAATGGTCCCTGTGGTCCCAAAGCAAAACAACTCTTGGGAAGTGCCCTGTTTGCCTCAAAACGGGCTAACGGAAGGTCGCTGAGGCTCGTGACGCGCGAGTTGCTACTTCGGCATGGTTTTATCTGCAGGGGACGGCTTGCTGCTCCTACTTAGTTTTATACGTCTTTCCTCGTTCAGCTATAAGCAATGGCTGCTTTATTTTGTACCTTTACATACTCATCCTTCTTCGCAAGTGCCATCTGCTGGCGGTAAGACAAATTTAGTTCTAACTGTTCGGGAGCAATCCGAGCAGAATTAAACTTCCATCTGGACCCGAAAGACGAAATTAGGTGTGAATTCTCATGCGCTCTGAGTTCGTTGTATAATGAAACTTACAGCCCCATCCATCACTTTAAATATCCTCCACAAGGGTCATTTGTGAGGAAGCCGAGAAAACTTGTCCGACAAGATCTTCACTTATGAACCCTATGAAAGGTTGAGACCGCCTAACACCCTTTTTCAGTTGCATCAGATTTGACGAAATAGAGGACGATACCATTCGTGCAAACTCCGTTTACCTGCTCTAAAATCTTTATTGGTTTTGTTTGATTTTTTCATTCACCGCGCATTATCGTTCCTGACTCGAAGGTCAAATCCTGACTCTACCCGACACAGTCGCACGCAGCTCTCAGCGGAATGGCAACATCAACATCGTTGTTCCATGGAGAATTATCGATGAGAGTGGCTTGAAGGGCGTGGTGGAGGTTCATGCCGCTGACTTTCCTGATCATCGAATCCATGGTGCGAGTGTGAAGGCGCTCATGGAAGTACTCAGCAAGAAGTTGCAGTCTCGGGATCGAGATATTACATGGTCACCTCTCTTCGTCTCCACGGCACCGTCATGAAGAAGAACTGTCGTCTCGAAAGTATAATTCCTGGGATGGCTGGCGGATGCCCAAGCTTGCTTGCAGCGGTTGAACTCGTTCTTCAGGGAAGTCTCAATATCTTTGTGAAGAACCTCCTGGGTAAAACGATCGTGATAGCGGGGCTCAAAAGCGACACTGTGGACGATCTAACGCGAGGGATTGAGAATCAAGAGGGGATGCCTCCAGACCACCAGCGCTTCCCGAGGCCACACTACACCTGGTTCTACGTCTGAGAGGTGGTGGCAGCGGACCTCCTCAGTTGCTTCAATTCGCCGACGTATCCAACAACTCCATCCTGACCCAGAGCGAGTTCTCTTCGGCTGCCCCAAAGTGGCGCGTGTGTGACAGAGGGCTCAATATTGAGGGTCGCTGTGAGAACAGCAAGTGCGAAGCATTTGGGCAAATGATCATCGACTCCAATCCGGTCAAGCACTTCAATCTAATCCGAGGAGACAGCGTGGGTTGTCCGGTGTGTAAGTCGGTCGTCAAGCCTCTTACATGCGGATTTTACGACTGTGTGTGGAAATTCGAGGGGATCAAGGCATCGGACGGCATCGCCATCAGTTCGCCATGGGAAGAGGCCAGCGGCGAGAAGTATCACCGGTTTGGTGCAGACGAAAGCCACGGCCCCGTGGAGTGGGAAGATTTGCTCATCGTGGTCAAGTCACTCGGGGAAGCTGCTGCAGTCAAGGCGGTTCCACGAAGCCGTGACGCTGAGGCGTACTACCGTAGCAAGAAAAGTTGAATGCCCCATCTGCTACTCCACACTGGGTTTTGATGAGGGAAGTGTCACCACCACGCGCTGCGGGCACAGCTTTCACAAAGCATGCGTCGGCCTGTGGTCAATCCAGTGCAATGACGCCGACTTGCTTCCGACATGCCCGATCTGCCGTAGGTCGATGTAGGATCAGAGTCAGAATTCTGACGGATAGTGAAGCGCAGCTATCAAGTTCATCCATACGGCGGACTTGCGACCAAATATGAAATGCGCTGGAAGCATGTGCATATCTGAGTTTGAACACCAATGAATGTTTCTTCTTCTGCTTTCTCGCTTTCTTTGTCGTAACTTACAACACAGTTGTGTCTTTTACATAAGTCAAAAGGTAAGGGTGAAGTTCGAATGCCGGCAAGAACTGTGGATATTGCAAACGAAAAGTTTCCCCACGTATCTACAGCAAACGTGAAGTGATTGCACACCAGGTGTACGATAATTTTGCAACTTCGCCCTTTATCATTCCCCAACTTGCTCTTAAGTCCTCATCGTTCAGCACGGGGACGGGATATTCTTCATGAAGAGCTTATTAGCGGTGGCTGGGGACTCCCTAGAGTTGTTATTCTTCTTTTACCCGTTCAACTCAAAAGCAACACGGAATGGTTTACTTTATTTATACCTTACATACTCTTGTTGGGCCGTGAAAATAGATATTTTTTATTCTAGACATGAGCATGCTTGGCGACGGCCCCAAGACAAATTTAGTTTTGGATTCAGGGTGTCCTGGACGTCGGCCAGCCTGACCATCCCGACGGACTTCGAGGCGCGAAAGTTGCAGGTCTTATCTCGGTTCTGGAGCAGAAAACTGCAAGCGACGATCACCAGCGAGGGGGGCATCAGAGTCGTGACATCCATTCTGCTCTACGGCACGAAGCTGGACGGCCAGCGCTCCCTCAAGTCTGTCGTTCCGGAACTCGCTGGCGGATGCCCCCGCCTCGTAGCGACGACGCAATTCATACCCAAACCGATGGACGGGCTAGTTATCATCGCCAGGCTCCCGACCTTCGAAAGTCTTGGGATCATTTGCAAGCCCACAACTCAGATCGATCTCATAAAGCAGTGCATCTCATGGCGAGCGGGTATTTGCCTGAGTCAGTTGGGCACCGTGTACAAATAAATGGAAGAGGATTGACCCTCAACAACCGCTGTCAAACTACAACGTTCAGCACGGGGACGAGATATTCTTCGTAGAAAGGCTAGTCGGCGGTGGCTGGGGGCCCCCTCAAATGCAGGCGTCTCGGACGACTCAATTCTGACGAAACACCAGCTTTGCGATGATGCGCCAGAGTGGCGTACATGCTCAACGTCGAAGGAAAGTGCGAGAATCCCGTCTGTGCCGCCTTTGGAGAGATGGTCATCCACCCCAAACCGTTCGCGGTCTTCAACCTCGTGGAGGATCATATTGGAATCTATTGTCTGACCATCCCGTGGAGCCTCTCACCTGCGGGTTCTTCAACTGCGTGTGGAAGTTCAAGGGCGTCCGATCCAGTGACGGCTGCTTCATGAGCTCGCCGTGGAAGAATGCCGGGGGTGAAGACTACCACCGCTTCGACGCGGACGAAAATGCTGGCTGCGTGGAATGGGACAGTCTGCTGATCATCACCAAGACGAAGAGCGATTCAGTCGCTGCGAAGGTTCCAGCGGCGACGCGTTCCGTTGTTGTTCGCAGGGACAACGTGTGCTCGATCTGTTGGTCACTGTTTGGATCCACCGCGAAAAAGTGCGTCACTGCAGCGAAATGCGGCCACAGCTTCCACAAAAGATGCATTGACAAATGGTCGGAGTGGTGCTGTGGCCATGACGCACAACCGAGTTGCTCTTTGTGTCGGAAGGCGACGTGAGGTACTGCGCAGGCCACCGAGTAGTGTTACGCCGTAATACTCAATGAACGTTGCATTATACCCATCCGTACGTTTGACATGCTGGAGCTCCTGTGAGCATATCCAAGGTGTTCCATTTAGTGAGGAACCTCAACCCAAGATGAAGTCGTAGGCGCTTCCAGCACGCGCAATCCAGTAAAAGTGTATCAGAATCGTTGAAGCGCAATTCGGAGTACTAAATGACCTCGCCACGCTTGTCGACGAGCAAGATGCTGAGGGTGGGAAAGAGATATAACATTTTAAATGAAACGCGTCGGAATGCTAGCTCTGTTTGGCAAGCAAATCAGGAATTGCTGGCAGTGGTTATTTGGACAAACATCTTCCAGGTAAGCCGCGCATCAGCATCAGGTACTTGGCACTTCAATCAAGTTCGCTTTACTTCTTTTTACGCATCCTTATAGCTACACGACCACAACTTCACGAAACCTTTTCGCATGTTCTGTCATGCCACAAGTGTAAGCAGCGTCACTCACTTGTCGGGTGCCTCGCTCGAGAACTTCGACCGCGACCAATAATGGTCCGATGCTGCCAATAGACCCAGACCCATAGTAATATAGAATCTAAGTTGCAGGCTAAATTCAACCTATCTTATCGTCGTGGTCTATCATCAGACGACGAAAATCGCATCCAGAGAGTGGGGAAAGACCATTCACTCGTAATTGAACGTTATCTTCGCCGCCCCGGGATATCTATTGGAAAGGTGTAGCATTCGACAATTGGGTCGCAGCGCCCCACTTCCCTTGCACGTCCCAACATCACACCTCAAGGCCTCTCACAGGCAGGCACCGAACAAAATGACCACATCTACCATCGCACTACCGTGGAAAGTGAATCATGAACTCGGGTTGAAAGGCGTCTTGGAAGTCCACGTCTCCGAGCTTCCTCAGGTCAAATTGAGAGCGCAACCGTGGGGGATCTCATCGATGTCCTGAATAACAAATTCCAATAGCGGAGGTACGGTCAAGTCCATCCAGCTCTACGGTACCGAAGTGTCGAAAGAGCGCGGCCTCGTGTCTCTCATCCCTGGAATGGCAGGGGGTTGCCCACGACTAATGGTGGAAACTCGCTTTCTGGCCAAACCAACGATGAGCATCACCGTGAGGACATTTACCGGTAAATCGATTTCCGTGAACTGCTCGGAGGCGGATTCTATCAACGTCCTAAAGGTCAAGCTCCAAGACCACGAAGGGCACGCTCAGCGATTGGTTTTGGTGGGAGGCAACTGGAAGACGGCATGAAGCTCTGGCAATGCGGTATTGAAGACGACACTGTCATTTTAGTTAGCCGCAGTGCACAAATTCAGTGACAAATGAAATGGTGCTTTCATCTTCTATGGCATCTCTTAGAGCCGTGGAAGGACGAATTTGTGAGGCTCATAACCAATCAATGATGAAAATGTTTTTCGGTCACCGCTTACAGCGAGCGGCGGCAAAGAGGGCAGCTCGACAGCGAGTCGCGGGCGCAGTAATGGCTGGACCATGTATCCACGCATTGCGTGTGAAACGTGTGTCCACAAGTCGTTGTGGTGATGGCCCCTTCATTGCTGCTTTCCAATGTTGTCCAACAAATTGGGCATGGGTCTTTTAGTTTTCCTGAGCTCGTTTGTCCGGGATCAGCAACCTCGACCTTTTCAGCGTTCTTGGGCCCCGCTCCAGCTCTGGCGACAATCAGAAGACTCTCCCACTCGACGGAGCCGCTAGATTCGTCCGCATTGAATCGATGGTACTTTTCTCCGCTTGCGTCTTTCCACGTTGAACTGAGCGCGAAGCCGTCGGTCGACCGCAAGCCTTCGAACTTCCACATGCAGTCGTAAAAGCCGCACGTAATCGGCTTCACCTTGGCACTCGACTGTGTCATCCTTCATCAGGTTGAAGGAGTCGGGTGGATGACCATTTGGCCATACGCAGGGCAATCGCGACTTTCAGATCTGCCTTCGACATTGAGACCTCGATCGCACCGGCGCCACCTCGGAGCACTTTTTGAGGATTCTCGCTGCACCAAAATGGAGTCGTCCGATACATCGGCAAACAGCACTGGAGGTGCGCCTCCCCCTCTCAGACTCAATATCATGTGGATAGTATACTGTAGTACAAAAAATTCTCCACCTCAACGGTGTTTGCCAATGAATGAAGAATGATGAAGCTCATCACCTCGTCGAGCAAGCTTTATCAATCCTGGAATGGGTTTGTTTCTTCTATCATGCACTGACGAGCGGTCTAAAACTTTCTGAAGTAACTCTACTGAGCGTATCTTTGGCGTGCCAATCCTTGTCATTGTACTCAACACGCCACGAATTCTCTGTAACATCGCGCTGACACGGCTGGAACGATGGTTATAAGGTGGGTATTCGATTTCGATTAGATTGTGCTAGCTACTTACTGTCTACAGACCCTTTTGCCTCTCACACGCTCAAGCGGAGGCCGCGGCGATCTTCGCAGCGGTGGTGCGCGCATCGGTGGCGCTGATCGCGCTCGACGCGCGGACCCATCCGTCCGGGATCTTCTCGTCCACCAGAAAAGAGCGGGCCGTGTCCACCGCCACGCTCTCATTGGTCTTGGAACCGAAGCCCAGCAGCAGAATGGACGCCTCGAGGAAGGCCAGCGTCTGCTGCGTCGTGCCGAACGTGATGTTGGGGTTGATGGCCAGACTGTCCGCGAGTCGGGCCTTGCGCGCAGCCCCGAGCTCCGTGACGCCCAGCGTGCCGCTGGTCTGGCCGCGCGCGAGCAGCTGCTCGGCCAGCGTGAGATTCACCGCGGCCGGGTCGCCGCCGAAGTATTCATCGTTGTGGATGAGCGACGCGTCGTGCTCGATCATGTTGTGCGTGGCCAGGTAGTCGAGCGAGAAGGAGTCGGGCACGAGCGCCAGCAGCGTGGCCGTGGCGTCCTCGCCCAAGTTGTAGACCGACATGACGGCGGGCCCCAGCACGGCCTTGGTCACGTTCTGGCCGTTGCGCGGCAGGTAGCCGTGGTTGGCCAGCGTGTTGAGCGCGGGGCACGGCGAGCGGCGAAACGGGGTCGTGGCGCCCACGACGCCCGAGACGTAGCGGCCCGAGGGCTTGAAGTACGTTCCTTCGGCCAGCTCGTTCACGTCGAGAGTGGCTGCGCTTGGAGTCGTGAAGGTGGCGACGGCGACGGCGGCGGCGACGATGCAGTTGACGAACGAGACCATGGTACAGCTCGGTAGGCCAAAGTGAATTGGAGAATGAGCTCCCTCCTGCACCCGAACAGAGCGATTGGGAGGAGCTGGAGGGCTGGAGACACGTCCCGACCCGATGCAGACGCGACCGTAAACGCCGGCCGTGATTCTGATGGTGCGTCCAGCACTGTTGTCCTGGACTCCAGGACAACAGTGGCCTTGCGCTACATTACGACTGTGGTGATTGACGCTCGGATAACCGCTGGACGTTCAGAAACGGGTCGGACCATCGGAATCGTATCCATCTTTTTCGGAAGGTATATGCGCGTGGATAGTTCGGTTTTATTAGTGATTGCATTGTCTAGGCTTTCCTGATACCATGTGATTATCTAGGTTTACGATTGAAATTAGGTACACTATCCGTACGGATCACGGTGCACGGTTGTCATCCAAGTTGGATGATCCAACGTTGCAATCCTCCAGCATAAAACGTCAAGTCATCTGAGACCTGGTCGAGCACAGCAAGTGCAAGGGGCACGGTCACTGTGCATTGAACGAGCTGGGCGCACTTCGGACGCTTCAACGTGGCTGGAGTTGAACGGCGAGTTGCCCTGGTTTGTAGTTGTGGACCGATAAGCTTGGCTCTTCTCGCCAGGACTTCTTGATGTTCGGGGGGGGGGCTTACTAGGGCATTCACCATTGCTGCTGGCGTCGGTGAGTAACCTGGCTGCTGGGATTTGCCAGGCTGTGCTTCTAAGCGGACAGCCGCTGTCCGCAGCGTGTCGCGAAGATCGATCCTCGATGATGCGGGCTGTGGTCTGAGTCTGAGTTGCGGCGACGCAATGTTGTACATGTACCATTGGATCATGAGCTGTAGACAAATCCCCAGTTTTTTATTGCAATTTCCCCGTGTGTCAAGCTCAGCTGCAATCCTTGTATTTGCGATGGCCGGCAAGGAGCCGCTGCCTACATACGTACAAGAGAGTGCTTACGTACACAGTCTTTTTTATGGGGGTCGAGGGGGGGTGAATGTGATATAGAAGAGGACCAACGGAGGCTCGCGGTTGCGAGGAGCGTAGCCGCAGCAAACCCGCGCGGGGTGCCCGCGTAGCAGGGCCGCGCGGTATTTGCGGAGGCGGGCCCAGCGACGAGCATTCCAGCGAGCCGAGCACTGTTCTCGCCAGGTGAGAGAATCTTTTTATCGCAGGAGCGCAGCGACTGCCTTTGCGGAGCGCAGCGGAGCAAAGCCATTTCCCGCGGATGACATCCGTCCTGCGGGAAGGTCGTCACATTGTGGGGTGATGGGCTGCCTATACAAACTCCAAGATATCACCGAAAATAGACTGTGTACGTAGATCCTGCCATACATGTACGTACAAGCCGTGGTGATGGGCACATTACACTAATGACGGCCAGGCAGTCCGCCAGACGATCCGCGAACTGCATCTGTGTCTGACAGTGACGGTGTCAGTGTTATTGCCGTGACACTGTCACGGCAATAAAATGCCCCCCCCCTACATGTACAGTAGCACTGTACTAGTACATGATGCACCGCCATCGTGCTCCAGCAGGCTGTGCTCTGTAGGGAACAGGCATCATTGCGAGCAGGATCTGCGCAGAGTTATCCAACTCGATGGACGAAAGCCGATTAACAGCGGCGAATAGCGTAGCTTAAGGATTCTGTTGGTGCTGCCAGCATTGGTCTCCGCTACAGCTCCGGCTTGATCTTTTTTGCGAGTACCACGGCGGTCAAGCGTAGCGCAGACTGTACTACTGTCACTGTGGGGTGGGCCACCAGCTCGGTCGTGCAAACGTTATACCGCAGTAACGCGATGTTGCTGTCTGGATTCGTCCCAAATACTGAACACATTTGCCCGGATCGCGTGAAGCTGCAGAATAAGCGAGAGTTGGAGGTCACCTCGTCGACCAGACATGGCTAATGAATCGGTCGATGCGCTGACCTCCATCATGGAGGCTCCATGACGGGTGGGAACTTCCCACTGGGAAGCAGCTCAAGTCATCAAGAGGGCACTCGATGCGCGACGCGCGATTTTAGTCACAATGACGGTGCCCTACACACGTTTGTACAGCCACTCGCTCACTCACTCACAAAGAATCCAGAGTTCGATTGTCATTACAGTATGTACCGAGAAAGCTTGTTGCTGTTCTCACTGACCACTGCGATGCCGTCTACTTGGCGTTTCGAGCGTTCCACTCGCGGTCGAACACGCTGAGGCTGCGCTGTGCGGTCGGCACAACGTCGAGCGCCTTGACCATCACTCGCTCGGGCTTGTCCAACACCCACGAGATCGCGTCCGCCACGTCGTCGGACACCAGCGGCTCGTAGCCGTCCATGAACTGCGAGTACATTTGGCGGTCGAAGCCGACGCGCTGCTCGTGGAAGTTCGTGGCCACGACGCCCGGACGCACCACCACGACCTTGACGTTGGTGCGGCTCAGCTCGTTGCGCAACGCGTTCGAGAAGCCCTCCTGCGCCGCCTTGGCCATGTGGTAGACGGCTTCACCGGGGAACAGAGGCGCTTCCAGAGCGGTCACCGACGTCACGTTCACGATCACTCCGCGCTTCTGCACCATCATTCCTCCCTGGTTGAGAGCCGCGTGAGCAGCGAACAGCACGCCATTCACATTCGTCTGCACCATGATCGAGATGTCGGCGATCGACTGGTCCTGGAAGCACGCGGGCGCACCGAGAGTGAGACCCGCGTTGTTGACCAGCACGTCCACGGGTCCGCCGATCTCCTTGACGGTGTCGCTCATGGCGGCGGCCAGCGCGTTGCGGTCCTGCACGTCCACCGCGTAGACCACGACACGGCCGCAGCCTGGCACGCCTTGCAGCTCCTCCGCTAGCGCTACCAGCTTGTCCTTGGACCGCGCAAGCAGCGCCATGCTCGCCCCCTCTTGGGCAAAGCGGTGGGCAGTTGAGGCGCCGATGCCCATCGACGCGCCAGTGATGACAGCGATCTTGCCCTTGAGCGACATGAGAGACGATGAAGTGGAGTTGGTGTTGAGTTGGCGTGCGCTTGAGAAGGTAAGAACGAGAATGGGTTGGGGCGCTCTCACTGTCGAGGGCAGATGATTAGCTCGCGGAATTGATTATGGTGCCGAAGTGATTGTGGCAGCTGTCGGATTATGGTGCCCATGGTCTCGCTCACATTGGATGAATGACTCAGCTGCAATCTATTGTGGCACCGGGCTGCAATCTACACGAACCTTTCTCTTAGTCGCCCTTTGAACCGCCCAAAGATGTCCAGTGCGGGGTCAAATACAGCAGCTCAGTAACAGGCTCAGCTCCGGCCTGCTTCGAAGACTCCCGATCCTTGTTCGCAAGCAGATCGAGTGCACGCAGCACGAGCGGGTGCGTAGCGTCGTCGTTAGTGTGGATGGCACACGCATCCTGCGCGAGCTCGCGAACTTGGGAAGCCAGGGGCTGCAATTCAGCACCGGGCGGAGACGAGGCCGAAGTCAGGATGGCCACGCCAGCAGCGAGGAGGCCTAGGAGAGGGGCAAACACATCCGAGTAGTAGGTGATACCTCCTAGCCACTGGCTGCCTTCTTCACGCCGAGCTTCCTGGTTCAGCGTGGTGAGTGCACTGGCCACAGCCGTGAGAACTTGCTGGCGCAGAAGATGCATGGACTCCCCATCGTCCTTGACAGAGCGAGCCAGCAGCGAGAAAACAATGTTCTGTGCCAGCACGTCGCGTTCAGCGAAGTAGTTGCTGCTCTCGGACTCGAAAATGCGGCGGTACAGGTCGTCCCAGTCTTGGGCCTTGGCGCCAGCAGCACCGGCGTAAGCGGCAAGAACGCTGGGCGCGTCCACGAGCTCAAAGAGCACCTTCGACAGAGATGCAGCGCCGTGTCCAGTACGCGCGAAAGAAGATGCAATATACTCTACAGCGAGCGGCAGCACCGTTGCATCTGACAGCGAGCCACGCGGAGACGAAGCGATGCCATCCTCAGCCTTTGCAAGAGCTTCTTGGACAGCGTGCCGCGCAACAGCTCTCACGCGCACGTCGTCATCTTGAAGCAGACGCAGAGCGCTCATCCAGCCTCCCAGTGCGAGATTCGCGCTTGAAGCGACAGATCCTTCCTTCTTATGCAGGAGCAGAAGTCCGCTGTGGTGGAGCGAGGAAGCAGCGGCTTCGCGGAGAATCAGGGGTTGGTTCTCGTCAGAGCGTTGCTCGATTTCTTGGCTCAAAGTCTGATACAGCGCAGTGTCAGGACTAGCAGCAGATGCACTTTTGTGGTATACCAAGAGGGCGAGCAGCTCCAATGTCGGGGCCAATACTTGAGTGTCTGCCGAGATATTCAAAGTATTCGCCAGTTGGGTTTGCAGTTGCTGCCTCTGGGGATGAGCATCAGCAATCGGTTGGCGAAGCTGGCAACGGACAAGTAGCTGGAGTTGCCTGGCGCGCACCTTCGGGTGTGTCTCCACGAGGAACTGGCCGATCAAAATGGTCTGCAGCTCGGCGACAGCATCCGTTGTCAACTCTGCAACAACCAGCTTGTTCGCAAACTTCTTGATAGCCTTCTTGCGGATCTGAACAGCGTTGCACACCAGCATCTTCCGGACGAGTTCATGCAGCTGCTGACCACTGGCCGGCATTGTCCACAAGCTGAACCAAATCGACACCAATGCACGATCCAACACGTACATACCCGGTCGGGTGGACAGCAGCACAGCAGCAACGCGATCGGAATCGCACCGCTGTAACAACTGTTGTTCAACTTCAGCTTGAAGCGCCTTAACAGTCTCAGCAAGTGCCTCCTTCGTTGCTCCCGACAGCGCAACCGATGCATCCTCCTTGTAGAATCGGAGAACAACATCCACAGTTGCGACAAGCTCGGCCCGAATGACAGCATTAATCGACTGAGCGTCCTTACCAGTCCACAGCCACATTGTCGACGGAAGCAACTTCGTCACCACGACCTCAAAGAACTCCGCCTGCGCTTCCTTCGAGATAGGTGTGGACTTCCTTTGGGTATCTCCAACGAACAAGTATTTCGTCATAAGGTGGCGAATCTGAGCGAGTACTCCGTGGACGTAGTTGTGTGACACACCCTTGGGGTCCTTGCTGCTTCGGACACCCTGCGGAAGCTTCTCACAGAGCATAGATAGCACAGTTGCAGCATCGGCATCGCTTACAATCGAAGCCACCACCTTCGCAGCCATGTGTCGGATAGCCATAGTCGGTTGAGAGGCGCACTTCATGGCGAGCGGGACGAAGCTCGCGAGCCCGCTGCCATCACACGGCGAGGCAGGTGCATCAGCCACACGCTGGTCATCCTCGTCACCAGGTCGAAGACGGCTCAAGAACAACAACAATGGATAGAGGCCAGGCGGGGCCGCTCCGCCCAGGGTGCCACTAGGCTTGCTGTCGCTTGCCAACAATCTCGACAATTCACGAGCGAGGAAGCCACGCAGCTGCTGGAAACGCGAGAACACGTCGTCGATGGAAACCTGCTGGCGAGTTCCGCCATCGGCAATGCGCTTGTCTCCAATCGCACGCTGAGTCGTCGCAGCGAAAAGCATCATAGACGAGTTGCGCACAGCCCACGATCCACAGTCGAAGCCACGCACAGCAAGCTCGAGCATATCCACGATGTAACGAGCCACATCCTCCGCCAGCACTCCGTCTTGGCAAATAAGCTTCAGAATGTTGAGTGCGTGCACACGTGCGCGCCACAGCGAATGGTGCTCCTGGTGCGTATCACGCTTCTCCGCCGCGTCAGTGTCCTCGCCCGCAAGACGCAGCAACGTCGACATGACCTTAGGCAGAATAACCGCAGCAGAATTGCGAGGCTCTGCACGGAGAATCGCCACGAAGCTAAACGCGAAGCCTGAGCTACGACGCAGGATGAAGTGCTGCTCTGACCTCTCCAAGCGCTCCAACAAGCGATCGGCCCAACGCGCAGGCAGGCCGCCAAGCTCAGCATTTTGCTCACCGTGGGCAAGGAACGCACGGCAGACACCTTCAAACGCCTGGTACGCAGTGGCCACCGCACCCTTGTGCTTCAGCTCGAACAGCGAGTTCAGCAACGTCTCACCACCACGCTGTGCCATCTCAACGGTGAAGTAAGAGACACTTCCCGGAGCTGCGTTGGAGCTCGGGAGCGGAACACGGCGCATGAGCAGTTCGAGGATGGCTCCGCACTCTCGGGCTGCCAGCCAGCTGCCCACCACAGCACGTTGCTCTGCGTTGCCATCATCCTCCTCTCCATCAAGACCGCCTTCTCCATTCTCAACGATCAAGTGGCCACGGCAGTCTACGCGAAGAGCAGAGTTCGACGTTTTAGCCACAGCGCTCACCTCGCCCACCACTCCAGCAAACGAAGCCGACAGCTCCTCATCGCCGGCGCCGGAGGTAGCATCGCCAACCACGGCAAGAGATGCACGCATCGATTGGTGAATAGCCGTGAAAATTTGCGTCATGGCATGCGGCCACTCTGCGGCTTCACTGTCGGAGAGTTTATCGAAAGCCACGTTCTCAAGTACATAGTGCAACGACAGCAAGAAGCCATGCACAAGCGGAGACTCGCCTCGCCTAATCTCAGCGGGACTCAAAGCTTCAACACGCGACAAAATCACTTGAGTCAGCTGAAGCACGAACGCTACCTCTGGGCTTTTGCTGCTAGCATCAATAACGACATCACGTCCACGCTCCGAATCGCGCTGGAACGTCAAGCCAAATCGTTGAATAGACCCGCTGCACTTCTGGAACAACAAGCGGATGAACATCGCGCCAGCGTCACTCTCACGTTGGCGGGGGCTGCCACAAAGTCCCACGGCCCAGTCAACAAGAGTACGAAGTTCTTCACGCGTCGAGTAGCCCGGCAGCTCGTCCGGATACAAGTCCAAAACTGTAAACGCCAGAGACCGAATTGAGTCCCATGCGCTAATGAGCATGTTCAACAGGGTCGTCACCATTTGGCCCGTGAGCAAGAGGCTTCGTGCAGGTTTCTCCGTCGGAGCTTCGTCATTTCCAAAACCGAACAACTGGACATACAGGAGAAGAACCTCTAGGCCCAGCGTCAAGCGCTGTGGGAGCGCGCCAGGGTACACCGAGGTGACGACGAACAGCTCCACCCATTGCTTGAACGCCACTGCAGCAGCATAATCGTCGCGAGCTGAGGCTGTGGGGTTTGGCTTCGTCTGATTCTTGCTGGCAAGACGCAGCGTCTCCTTGATACGGATCAGCACGGTCTTTAGTCCGATCAGGGTGTTCATGCGACCAGCGGGTCCAATTTCTTTTCCATTCACCACCAAATAGTACTTCACCAGGCGTAACTCATCATCCGTCGGCATACTGGTCGACTTCAGCGACGCGCACAACGCATCGAAAGCAGTACCACGAGTTTCCACCTTGGCGTGGCGAAGACCACGCTCAATCTCGTTCATTGACATGCCCACCAGTTTCTCAGGTGCCATTTTCTTGCGCGCGAACTTGAGCACTTCGAGCTCTGCCCACAGCGCAACATCGGCCGCTTCGCCAGCAATATGCTCCTTTGTAGCTTCCTCGTGGAGACGCTTAATCAAGACGGGCACACAATCAGGGTCCTTTTTCAGGAGGAGAGGAATCACGTACATCGCCACGCGCGAACGCAGATTCGCATCACGCGAGAGCAGTACACCAACCACATCCGGGAGCCACAGAAGCCGCCACGCAGTCATGGACTCATCATCAGGCTTCGAAGTGCTCTTCTTACCGCTCTTCTTGTCACCTCCCTGGCTGAGGTCGTCGAGAATCTGCGCAAACAAGTTAGCAGCAGCTGGCGCGGCGTAGTCCTTCTGGCCTACCGCCGAGAGTAGCGACGACAACAGAGCAGGGCTGGCCTGGAGCACGGGCTTAGCACCGGCTTCGGCGACCAGAAGCGTCAAGGACCCGTACTTGGCTCGACTTGTCGGCGGCAGCTCGACCAGCCGCGGCAAGATCGCATCGCTCCACTCCTGGAACCCACCGGAAAGCACAAAGTAGTTGACGATGTGAGCGAACACGGCAGCCATGAACTGATTCACCTTCTTGGACGGGTGCTCCCAGTTCAGCAACACCGCAGTTGTCAGGTTCGTCAGCGTCTCCACCGCCAACACAGCAGGACGCTCTTCGCCGTTAGCGGCAGGCTCCTTCTGCTTCTGCAAGATCGTCACCGCGCGACGGAGGAACGCCTCGAGCACCTGGAACGCAAACAATCGCGTGTTGTACGCCTCCTGGTCGCAGAACTGCTGGACGCCAGTAAAGATCGCGTCGAGCGCGCTCTGCTCCGACTTCTGCTCTTCATCCAGTCCGAGGTTCTTGGCCGGAAGTGCCAGCTCCTCGTTCGCGAGGCTGTTCAGCAAGCCGCGGCACACCGCCAGCCTCGACAGGTCGCCGAAGCTCTCGACGTCCTTCTCAATGTGCGCTCGCACCTGCGCGTTGTCGCAGTCGTCCACGCTGATAACCTTCAGCTCCGGGTACGCCGTCTGCAGCAGCAGCTTGGTCGCCAAGGTGGAAGACTCTCCCGAGCTGTGGACTGACAACTGCAGCAGCAGGCGCAGCACCAAGCAGTACGCCAGTCCCGCCTGGGTCAGCAGGTCCTTGTGCACCACGTTCGTCTGCAGCAGCAGGACACAGTGCTTGACGATGCGGAGGAAGGCCTCTACCAGCTGCTCCAGGCCGTCTCCGCGGCACTGCAGCAGGCGCCGGTCCAGCACCTCCTTCATCGTGGCCAGCACGATCACGCTCTTGAGCGCGTGGCCGCAGCGCTCCGAGGCCAGCAGCACCACGTTCGTGGACGCCGCGGCGGCCTCCTCCTGCTCCTGCTCTTCCTGTCCCTGATTGGCCTCGTGGTACTCGACGATGGGCGCGCCCAGCGCCTCCAGCTGCTCGGCGCAGCTCGCCACGAACTGCAGCAAATGCTGTGCGTCTCCGCTGCGCGCGCCGTCCACGGGGTTCTCCACCAGCGCGCGCGCCAGGAACGGCGACTCGACCAGGTGCAGCATGCGGTCCAGCAGCTGCACGCGCTGCTCGGGCGTCTCCTGCTCCGCCTCCGCCCACAGCGCGCTCAAGAACGCGCGCAGCTCCTCGGCCGCCACCACGCGCAGCCCCTGCACGCGCGCGTCGGAGCCGCCTTGCGCCAGCACGTCCAGGATCAGCCCCAGGTTCTTGCGCAGCGGCTGCGCGCGCGGCGCCACGCTGAGGCGGAAAACCAGCCGCCAGATCGCCGCCTTAAGTTGCACGTCTGCGTCCTGCAGCGTCTTGCACTGCGAGCGGAAGAGCTGCAGCCGCTTGAGTTGCTCGTACAGACTGCCGTGCGCCTCGCACAGCGCCGCGTACCACTGCGCCAAGCTCCCGGCGCCCAGCGCCGCCGGCAGCGCAGCGTCCGCGGGCACCTCCTCCATTACGCGTCGCAGTTCCACGCCGCGTGGGGCCGCCGCGCCCTCGGCCTGCGCCTCCTTGATCACGCCCTTCCTCTTCTTGCGCACCATCACGACTCGCAGTGTCTGCAATCCAACCAAACGCCCAAGATGGCTAATTTTGTGTACGCCACACTACCTACTTTTTTAGCGTCGGCCTGTGCCGCCAATATTCCTCAAGCTTCAATAGGCTCTGATGATGGCCGCCGCCAGTGCACTGCGCGGGCTGAAGCAGCGGGACGCCACCAACAAGCGGCCGCGCGTGACGTCCGCGGGCGAGCAGCAGCCGCCGCCGCCGGCACGCAAGGCGGAGGATGACCTGACGGCCGAGATCGCGGCCGTCACAGCCAAGAACGCGCAGCTGCAGCAGAGCGTGGCGTCGCTCAAGCGCAAGTTCTCGCTGCGCGAGGAGGAGACGCACCAGCTGCTGCTGGGGATCGGCGCGCTCAACGCCGTGGCCGCGGAGCTGGCGGCGCTGCAGCGCGAGCACCAGGCGCGCGCGGCGCAGAACGCGGCGCTCATCCAGGAGTCGCTGGCGCAGATCTCGAGCTGCTCGGCGCAGGTGGACGCGCTCAAGCAGTGCCGCGGGCTCACGGCGCAGCAGCTGCAGAGCTTCCGGCGCGAGTGCGCGCAGCAGATGAACAGGCTCGTGGCCAGGCTTGCCGAGCTCGCGGACAGCGCGGGCCACGAGCCGCTGCAGGACGACGAGCTGGACGAGAACAGGCGGCAGGTGCAGCGCCTGGAGCAGGACGTGTGCGCGTACAGCGCGCGCGTAGTCGCGGACGACGCAGAATCCTGCAAGGGCCTTGCGGACGCCAGCATGACGACGGAGCGGATCAACGTGGCGCTGGCGCAGCTGGACGAGCTGCACGCCGAGATGTTCCAGCTGAAGCAGAGCGTGGGGCAGGAGCACCAGTCGTTCCGGCGGCATCTCGAGGACCTGGTGGCGCAGCAGATGACGCAGATTCGAGAGGTGCAGGACAACGAGACGGAGCGGATCCACGAGGAGATGGACGAGATCAGGTCGGGCATGTGCGGGATTCTGAAAGACTTGCACCGACTGAAGGAGCGGACCAAGTACCTGGTGCCCAGTATGGCTGGCGTAGGCTCTAGAACGTCTCGAAGTAATGCCAATGGACCGCCGCCACTGCAGGCGATGAACTATGGCGATCAGAAGGAGGAGCGACGGCCGACTGCGATCCATCACAGCGCTGGCTATTCGATAACGATGGCGACGCGCCAGTGTCAAGATGAATTGCCGCACTACGAGCATGGCTATGATGACGACTGCTACTGTCCTGGAGTGCTCCCAAGTCAAACTGAAGACCGATTTGTACGCGCAGACCGACCTCGAAGCCCCAGCAGGTCCAGTAACTCTAGCGCGCCCCATTCCGAGGACGAAAACTGGCGCATGATTTCCCCGCCGCCTACAGGTCAACGTGCTGCGCCGCCCTGTGAAAGTCCACACTACTCGTCCCGCTCATCCAGCCTGTCCGGCCGCCTCAGCGTCTACGGAGGTACGCGATCGCCTGCATGTGTACCGAGTCGTCCCGTGCGCCCAGAGCAACGGACGCCAGGACTTTTAGCAATGTTTGGGGGCGCAGTTGCGGTATATTAACATTGTAGTGTGTGCCGTTCTTCGTAGAAGAGCACGTGGTACCGAACGATGAGCCCTCCGCCCAGCAATTCGAGCGACAACTATTGGAACAGCACCGGCTATTCTGGATTGGGGAAGGTGCTGGGTAGCGAAGCGCCTCAAGCTTCGTGGTAGGCTGACCGGTTGTTCCTGTGCTACGCTAGCCAACCGAATGATCCAAGTGGAAGAAAATTTAGCACGTCGCAGTGCGTATGACGAACTTTGGCACCAAGGACAAGTGTTACCAAAGGAAAGCTGAAGCGCCAAGGCTCACCCGTCGGCAACTCGTGAAAGACATTTTTATATATGAGCCTGGAAACCAAACTACAACGAGAACACAAGCACAGAAACGGAAGAAGAGGGATCCATCGCCCGCATATTATCAACGAGAGAGAGTCGAGCGATACAGGATGGAGAAGTAGGTCACGGCTTGAGAAAGCAAACTGTTTTTGGTCTGCAGCGCCGTGAGGTTGCTCATGATACGCTTGTTGATCGAGAGAAGGCAAGTAGGTCATTTAGGTAGCTATTTTCCCAGTGAGCGGCGTAGGTTTTTAGATTGCGCAGGTGAATTCATCTGATCTCTAAAGCCATGAAAGAAAGATCACTTTTAACTGCGCTAACCTTCAACGCTGAATGCGTCATTCATTCCAGATTTTTCCCTGCACAAACAAAATTAATCACGAAGACGGGCACGAGCCGCAACACCTCCGCTGGAAGTACACCGGGCCACGCTTAGCGTTGTTTCTAAAGTACTTCTGGGTCATAAATACTAGTAAAACGCAGAAGACCATCTACATGCCCGACCTCAATTATGCTGTGTAACCACAAATAAAATTGCTAGTAACACTTCCAAGAGTTAACAACTTCGACTACACGCACGGGCACTTGCTTCAGGTTAATAAATTTACTCTTTGCAGAGGTGCTTTGAGTCTAACGAGAGCGAGTCGGGGTCCAAATAAGATGATTTATTGTACGATCCATCTATCTACGAGCTTCTAGCGGAACGCTTCCGCTATTTATCGCTACACCACATTACTCAACTCACGCAACAGGCACAACGTCTGCCCAGCAGTGGCAGTCTCCACGAGAGAGCCCTTGCTGCGACGTAGCAGCCTCGACTCCTAGCCGGAATCGTGGTGCTCAGCACCTAGTTATCACCCTCACCCTTCTTCTTCTTGTCACCGTCGTCCTGCTTTGTGTTGTCACCGTCATCCTGCCTCGTGTCTTCACCCTCGTCCTTCTTGGTGTCCTCACCGCCTTCCTTCGAGGTGCTGCCATCGCTCTTCTTCTTGTCGCTGCTGCTGTTGTTGCCGCCATCTTGGTTCTTGCTGCTAGCATCGTTCTGTTGCGTGTTGCTCTCGCCGTCATCCTGCTTGGGGCTAACAGTGCCCGGCGCGCTGGTCTCGGTCGTCTTGGACGTGTCCTGGCCCGAGCTCTGACTCCCACGGAGAGAGCTCGACGTGGACGCGCCGGTCTTCTCGTCCCCGGACGACTGCTGCACCGAAGAACCGCTCGACGCGGTCGTCGGGGCGGACGAGGACGCGCTGCCGGCGGCGGTTCCGTCCCGCTGGTGCCGCCTGCCTTAGCCACGTTGCCGTTGATGTGGACGTCGCTCTCCGAGTACTGACACAGAGACGGCGACGGGCCGTCGCCCAGCATGGACGGCTCGCCGTTGGCGTTGCCCTGCGACCACTGGCAGATCTTGACCTTCTTGCTGCCGCTCGACTTGACCCAGATGTTGCTGAGCGTGGCCTGGTCGCCCCAGTTCTTGTTGACCGTCACGACGGCGTTGGTCGGGTTCACGACGAGCACGTTGGACATGGACACCTTGCGCGCCTTGCCGCCGCACGTGCCGCACGAGCGGTAGAGCTTGCCGACATCCTCGCCGTAAAAGCCGTCGATCTTGACGGTGCCGAGGCCGTTGTGCTGGATGACCTTGTCGTCGGCCGAGCGCGCGCCGCCGCCCGTGACCGTGGTGACGCTGGAGGCCGAGCCGCCCTTGACGCTCAGCGCGTCCTCGCACACGTCGTCCCACCAGACGTTCTCGATGGTGCAGTCGTGCTTGTCGCAGTGGACGCCCTCCATTTGGTTCTTGCCGATGATGACGTTCTTGAGCGTGGCGCCCGGCTCGAGCTTGAACACGGCCGTGTCGGCGCCGCTCTCGGTCTGGCCCTCGCACGACACGTCGGAGCGCTCGTACGTCTGCATCTTGCCGTCGAACACCTCGCCGGCCTTGACGACCTGCGCCGCGGCGAGTCGGACGGACCCGGCGCTGGTGGGCCACTTGCCGTCGGGCACGGACGCGGCGGTGGCGGTGGCAAGGAGCAGGGCGGCGGATGCGGCGAAGAGCTTGACCATTGTGTGTGCTGTTCGGATCTGCCGGCAGGTCGGTGGGTTGCGGCGGAGAAGGTGAATTGATGAATGAGAGGAGTGGGCGGGTTGGACGGAGGCTGCGATTAACGTGTTGGTGCGCTGTTAGGCGGTTGTTAGTCGGAAGACAGACAGACGGACGGACGGACGGACGGACGGAAGGAGGAGCAGTCAAGCATCAAGCATCCGAGCGCCAGGCCGCCGGATGGCACTTGGTGCGTCTTGAGACAGTCAGTTTTAGCCATCCAGACCCTTTCGTTGACGCGAAAGATTAGATCGGGAGCTTGACCAGTAGCAGTTGGTTTCTCGACAGCCGTGCGGTCACAACTGCTGATGTGCGTGTTCGAGTGGCTTGTCCACCAAATCCGTGACGATCGCTCAAGGTGTGGCGGTGGAGGCCCACAATTGACACTTTGGATTTAGAGGTTGGTATTCGTTGGTGGTGTCGTTCCAATGCGTCAGAGAATCACAGAAGACTACCTCAAAGAGTCGATTCATCAGCCATGGTTGCTCGTTGCCGTCCACCTGCTTGGCTGGCAATCAACCACACTGTTTGACTGTCTCAATGCACCCAGTAGGCAGGCCTACGCTTCGGAAATCTCGGTGTGCTACCGTTCAACTTGAGCTCCTTGGGGCAGCACCTCCAACTCTTACAAGATCGACGTCCAGGCGACGACCCCCTCGACATCCAAAACCTGTCACTCTTTCTAATTAGGGCCCTAACTAAATCTACGACGAAGAAGCCTCAATAAGATATCGTGAGGACCGTGAGGACATTTTCATCTACACTGGAGTGGGGGCAGCGTCGGTGCAGTCCAAGCCGCCGAGCCGACCGTGGCGTTGGCGCTCACCCGGTCCGTCGCCTCCGTGCCGTCCGTGCGAGTGGTGCCCGTGAAGACCGAGACGTCCGTGTCGATGGAGCTCGAGCAGTCCGTGTCTGCGGAGGCGCTGATGTTAGCAGAGCGGTGTGTGCTTGGCACCTTGCACTTGCTGTACGAGCTCCGTACAGCCCGTGTCGGAGAAGCTCATTGTCCCCGTGGAGCCCATTCCTACTGTGCCGCTGAACCCTGTGCAGTCCGTGGCGCTGAAGATCGCGCGGGCCCCGTCCTGTACTGTCAGTAACTATGGGTTTCGTGCAGCTTGTGTTCCGTGGAGCGTAGCTATCCGTGTAGGTGTCCCCCGTGCAGTCCCAGTTCGTGGCGCCGCTCCTGCCAGCGGTGCAGTTCGTCTCCGTGGGGCCGCTCGAGCCCGTTACCCTCATGCAGTCCGTGTTGGTGTGGTGCTCGCGACCGTGGTGCAGCTCGTGTTCGTGGCCCGTGCGGTCCGTGGTGCTGGCGCAGGTCGTGGGAGTGGGTCGTTCGTGTTCGTGAACCTCGTGCTGTCAGCATTGCTGGAGCCTCTCGTGGCGGTGGAGAAGTTTCGTGTGGGTGGAGCAGTTCGTGTTTGGGAATCTCGTGCTATCCGTGGTGCTGCTAACGCCGCTCGTGTGGATGGAGTATTTCGTGCCGGAGTAGCGGCTCGTGTTCGGGGACCTTGACACTCGTGTCGTGCGGAGTCGTTTGTGGCGTCGGAGCAGTTCGTGCGCGTTGAGATTGGGCAGTACGTGTTGCTGGTGAGGCTCGTGTCGGAGAAGATCTTCGTGCCGGTGGAGCTGCCCGTGTGCGTAGATTTCGTGCTGTCCGTGGTGGTGCTGCTGCTCGTGTCGGCGATATAGTTCGTGCCCGTGGAGCTGTTCGTGCTGTCGTGGATGCTGTGCGGTCCGTAGTGGTGCTGCTGCTCATGGCGTCGGAGCAGTTACGTGTCCGTGAAGCCGCTCGTGTCAGCGGAGAGGTTCTTCTGCGAAACGGTTCTAGTCCAAGGAGCCGCCCGTGTTCGTGTAGTTCGAGTTGGTAGAGCTGCTAAGACAGCGTGTCGACATGTAAAGCTCTTATATTTATGAACTGTTATTACTCGGACACCTAAGAATGAAATTGAAGGATTTAAGAGCGCGTCGAGTTTTGAGCCATGAAAATCAAATCGCGAACTGTATCAGCATTGAGAGCACCCCGTCGCTTAGTGATGGTATTGCCAGCAGTCGAGAAAGCACGCTCTGAGGGTACCGAAGAGGCAGTACATCCCAACCACTTACGCGCAAGCGGTGCCAAAGTCCGAAACTCCGAATGGTGCTCTTTCCACCATAATAGTGGGGACGGCGGAGTTTTGTCTTTCTTGTTCGCTTTGGCTTCGCTTGAACGCTCGATATATTTCTCAAGCTCACGCTCGCAATCCCTCTTCAGAGCTGCATCGCTTGTCTCCTGGGCTTGAGAATTCAGCCTTGAAGCATACATGAGATCTTGGAATTGACGACGCGCTCTCTCTCTTGCATCGCAGATTATCTTTTCTGGACTCTGGAAAAGTGGCTGCTCTGTTTCACAAGTCGCTCCGACCGCTGATCGTTTCACAATAAGCATCTCGGCCAGCAATCTATCCTTTGCTTTATTGAATCCCTCTGCTGCGAAAAGTCTCGAGTTGGTCGTGTAGGGATTCAATAGCGCAATCCAGATGATTTCAGCTTCTGTGCGGGAGTCAAAGCGTTCCTCCATTAGGGCCAGAAAACTTTTGCGGACTGATTGCATCTTGGATAGCACTTTTGGTGCATACGACTCCGCTTGCACCGTTTTATATAGCTCATCAAACATACCGGAGTTTTTCAGCACTGCTTTGAGGGACGAAATGATGAAATACAGCGACACCAAAGTTGGATATGACTCAGCTCCGAGTTGATCCGATGCAACGCTGAAAGGGGCTAAGAGCTCGACGAGACATTGGATAGTGAACCACTGCGCTGACGTGGGTAGCTTCAATTTCTTTGTTGAACGATCATCAAACTCCTTTTTTCCATCCGGAGTACCAAGATAAAAGAAAAACCTCTGCAACGTCAACTGCAGCTCCACAAACCGCTCAAGCATTGTAAGCGTGCTATTCCATCTGGTAGGGCAGTCGCCCATGACATCGAGCACATTTTTTCTTATCGGACTGAAGCTTCTCGACACGGTTTGTTGCCTTTTGAGAGTGGTGAAAGTACGTCGAAAGTTTTCGGAACCTTGAACCGTTTTACGCACTGCCTCAAGGTCACTTGAGTTCACCTTGTCCGCGGCCGATTTTTCGACTGCACTCACAAACGTAGCAACTTCATTGCAAAGGTCGTCAATATCGGCATCGCTAATCCATTCGGATGGCTCACACTGAGAGTCGACACATTCCCCTTCAGCTGATCGCTCTAGCTCCTCCAAGCGATTGTCTATCCACCGTTCACGCTGCAAATTAACCCGCGTAGACGCACTCGAATCAACAAAGGCAGCGACATCATACTGGTCGCCTCCCTCACGCGGCAGACCGTCACTTGGATTAATACTATCAGTATCACTATCGTCATCACTGGCATCTTCAACGTCTGCGCTACTTTGGTCTTTACTCTTAAGCAAAAGCGCACCACCAACCACTAGGTGCAGCGAGTGAGCGGAACAGGACATATGACGTAGGCCCAGGCTAGCGCAAGCCTTTTTCATGTTTGAAGCTCCATCTCGCAGGAAAATAGCACAACGCTTCGGGTCAAGGCGCCACCACACGAAGCACTGTACGAGAACTTCAGCGATTGCGTCGCCGTCGTGTTTACCAGGAATTGGGGTCACTTCGAGAGTCCATGAATGCATGTCAAATTTGGAGTCCACATAGTGAAGTGTAAGACTGATAAAGCTCTCGCGCTTGAGTGATATCCAAATGTCCGACGATAGAGAAAAGAAGTAGCACTCATCATCATTGTCCAGCCTAAGCCGAAGCGAGAGGCGGTATTGGCTGCCCTTAGTATGTACTCCGTCCGTGACGGTTTGGCGGGAGGGAACTGTTAGCTGAGTCGTCGCATTGTTCGCAAACCGAATAGCTTTCACGAATCCGGCGTCTCCGACGATACTTATTGGCCGCAAGCAGTACCAACCCATTCAGCGAGGATCGAGTTAAAAACGCTCTGCTCAGAAGCTCCCACTGGGACAAGCACGTCAATTAAATCCCTCGAAGCGGCGTCTTCTTTTTGGCGCCGTTCATTTTCCCGGAAAGCCTTAACTTCGGCGGGATGTTTCTTATTCATATGCGGGCCGACAAAACTTTTGCTTTTTGAGATCGGCAGTTCCTTCTGGCAGCTTAAGCAGAAGAAACACTTGGCGTGTTCACGTGTGAGATCATCTCTTGGCACCTGATCGTGTTCTTTCGCTGCGACGCAAACAATAAACTGCCAATATGCCTTTACTCTTTGTGACGCTAGTGGTGCCGGAAACGCACGCCCTGCCTTACACACGCGAACATTGGCAGCATCAAAAACCTGCGGGCGGGCTTCCGACCGCGTTATCTCCACGCTGAACGTCTTCTTTACGGCCGTTGTCTTCTTGGTATTGCGCCTTGCTTTTCGTGGGGTTGAGTTTGCCAACCGCGGAGAGGTTTGCAATCTCTTCGGAGTTGTTCGTGCTTTCTTCTGTTGCGGTAGTGACTGTGGGATCGATCGTGGTGCTGGCACCGGCGATGCAAATCCACCGACATCCGCACCAACTTGGTTATCCATTGCACCTGGTACGCGAGGCCCCTCAACCGAGACAGCTACACGAACACGAACGTCTCCACCAGCACGAGCGGCACCAGCAATACGGACAGCACGAGGTCCACGAACACGAAACTTCTCCACCGCCACGAGAGGCTCCAGCAACCCTGACAGCACGGAGCCGCGAACACGAACTTCCCCACCAACGCGAGCTGCGTCAGCAACACGGACTGCACGGGCCACGATCACGAACTCCTCTACGAACACGAACTGTTCCACCAACACAAACTGCTCCACCCACACGAAACGAGAGGCCCCAGCAACGCGGACAGCACGAGGTCCACGAATACGGACAGACCAAGGACACGAAGTGGTCGGCTGGCACAAACGCCTTTGCAAAATGGACGACACGGGAATAACCGATGTAAGGTACGGACACGACGAGCTCCAGCACGCCAAACGGGCTTATCTGTCAACAGAATTTACTCCGTCAATCCGGCCAGCACGGGAGTCGTTCTGCTCGTGGGAGATAGCGGGGGGAAAGGATGCGTGGGTCTTTTTGAAGTGCGTCTTCCTCGGCCAAGATGGGGTCTTCTGCTGCGCAGATATCGCTCTCGGTGCGAGGGAATGTGGGAACGGCTAGCTGTCGCTCACGGATAACTTCAATGAGGCAATGAGGTATCACGAGGGCATGAGTTTTGATTGGCTCAACTGATTCCTTTTTGACCAATCACTAGGTGGCCCAGAGGTCGATGTCGGCAAGATGTTGACTCGACGTCGGCTGACATCAACGGACGTCGAGGCCAAAAGACGTGTCCGGACCCTCGACGTCGACAGCTCTATTCGACAGTCGACGACAACCGTGTGCATTTGTCAAGTGCTCGCACCGAATGCTATGGATACTGTAGCTCGATCAGGAAGGAGTATGCACTGTGAAGTACATACCAACATCTGTAGAGTAGTATCTCCTCACGCCATGGTGCTTCGTGGGCGCGTTTCTGCCTGCAGCAAAGCCGCAGAGTAGGCAGCAATTGCTTCAGTGGATCCACGAAGCACAGCGTTGCTTTCAGGAAATTCTTGCGGCTGTATGCATTACAGTACTGAGTGTACGGTCAAACACGTCCACTGTAAACCAGGCGACGAGCGGGAACCCCAAGCGCTAGACCTCTCGGGACACTCCATGGAAATCTGCTGTCACAGTGACTCCAGCAGCAACACGCTCACAGATTCTTTTTCGGTGACGCAATTGCCACCGGCAGATCTATCGTTGCGAACAGCACAAAAACCCACAAACCAAACACACCGAAGCCACCAGCAGCAGGACCGGAAAGCAGCTGGACGCGTGATGTCTGCGTCCGGCCTCTCAATTAACCGGCACGCTGACAGTCGTCCAGCGGCCTACGACCACTGCAAACCTCGATATTAAGCGCGGCACCACGAGCTCTCGATCGATGAATCGACTCTTTGAGGTAGTCTTCTGTGATTCTCTGACGCATTGGAACGACACCACCAACGAATACCAACCTCTAAATCCAACCGCCACACCTTGAGCGATCGCCACGGATTTGGTGGACAAGCCACTCGAACACGCACATCAGCAGTTGTGACCGCACGGCTGTCGAGAAACCAACTGCTACTGGTCAAGCTCCCGATCTAATCTTTCGCGTCAACGAAAGGGTCTGGATGGCTAAAACTGACTGTCTCAAGACGCACCAAGTGCCATCCGGCGGCCTGGCGCTCGGATGCTTGATGCTTGACTGCTCCTCCTTCCGTCCGTCCGTCCGTCCGTCCGTCCGTCCGTCTGTCTGTCTTCCGACTAACAACCGCCTAACAGCGCACCAACACGTTAATCGCAGCCTCCGTCCAACCCGCCCACTCCTCTCATTCATCAATTCACCTTCTCCGCCGCAACCCACCGACCTGCCGGCAGATCCGAACAGCACACACAATGGTCAAGCTCTTCGCCGCATCCGCCGCCCTGCTCCTTGCCACCGCCACCGCCGCGTCCGTGCCCGACGGCAAGTGGCCCACCAGCGCCGGGTCCGTCCGACTCGCCGCGGCGCAGGTCGTCAAGGCCGGCGAGGTGTTCGACGGCAAGATGCAGACGTACGAGCGCTCCGACGTGTCGTGCGAGGGCCAGACCGAGAGCGGCGCCGACACGGCCGTGTTCAAGCTCGAGCCGGGCGCCACGCTCAAGAACGTCATCATCGGCAAGAACCAAATGGAGGGCGTCCACTGCGACAAGCACGACTGCACCATCGAGAACGTCTGGTGGGACGACGTGTGCGAGGACGCGCTGAGCGTCAAGGGCGGCTCGGCCTCCAGCGTCACCACGGTCACGGGCGGCGGCGCGCGCTCGGCCGACGACAAGGTCATCCAGCACAACGGCCTCGGCACCGTCAAGATCGACGGCTTCTACGGCGAGGATGTCGGCAAGCTCTACCGCTCGTGCGGCACGTGCGGCGGCAAGGCGCGCAAGGTGTCCATGTCCAACGTGCTCGTCGTGAACCCGACCAACGCCGTCGTGACGGTCAACAAGAACTGGGGCGACCAGGCCACGCTCAGCAACATCTGGGTCAAGTCGAGCGGCAGCAAGAAGGTCAAGATCTGCCAGTGGTCGCAGGGCAACGCCAACGGCGAGCCGTCCATGCTGGGCGACGGCCCGTCGCCGTCTCTGTGTCAGTACTCGGAGAGCGACGTCCACATCAACGGCAACGTGGCTAAGGCAGGCGGCACCAGCGGCTCGCCGGTCCAGCAGAGCTCGCTCCGTGGGAGCAAGGCGGGCGGTGACAACCCGCTGCAGGACGACGGCAACAACGACAACAAGGGGCAAAGCGGTGAGAGCAAGAAGAGCAAGAGCGGTGGCGACAAGAAAAAGAAAGACGACGGTAACAACGAGAAACAAGACGACGGTAACAATGAGAAACAGGAGAGCAAGGGCAACAGCAGCAGCAGCAACAAGAAGAACGACGGCAAGGGCAACAAGAAGCAGGGTGACAACGATGATGACAAGAAGCAGAGCAACAACAGCAAGGGCGACAAGAAGAACGAGGGCAAGAGTGACAAGCAAAACGAGGGCAAGGGCGACAAGAAGAAGAACGACGACGATGACAACTAGGTTCGCCCTCACGCTTTCGTTGGTACAACCGAGCTCAGCAAGGGAGTCGCTCGTCAGGACCGGCCTTCTTGGTCTGCTGCCATGCATGGTGATTGAGTTGAGTAACGTAGTTTAGAGACAGATAACGTACAGGGAACGGTTCGTTCCGATAGATAGATGTTCGTAACAATTTGGTGGATACAAGAATACAGGTTCATTTAGAATTCATGCGGTATGCAGCGATACTGAAGTGGGGAAAGTTATGCAACTTTGGCAATGGATGGGATGTGTTTGATAAGAAGCGCACCCCATCGCTTTGTGACGGGAAACGTTCAGTTTGCTTCAACGCACCAGACTGAGGTAGATAGTGGGGCAAAACAAAATCTATTAGCAAACTAGTCTTGATCACGCCGAGGAGCATCCGAGTACAATAGTTGCTGTAGACATTGTTAGCTCACTAGCCATCAGTTGAGTCAGCCGTCTTGTGCGCTGTTCTGGGTTTCGTGTGTATCGGCGATAAGCTTCAGATCGCCATCGCCCGTGATACTGGATTGTCGTTGGCTCAGCTCCACCGCGGAATAATGCTGTCGCTCCTCCAATTCTGAGCGAGTGCGTAGTATACAGACGCTGGTCGTGGCCAGCATGTTGAGCGGCTAGCTGAAGTGCTGCATCTTTGCCGAAACCATCCAGGAGTTTGATAATGAACAGAGCGGCTTCTCAGGGGACAGATCGAGATCTGCGGCGTTCTTCATCAGCAAGATGGCACCAAATACAGGACAAATCGGTGGACGAGATGCTTTTTGTAGCATTCTTGCAGTTCCTTGGCCGTACTGGTCATTCTTGCTTCCCCGAAACTGAATCTGGACAGAAGCTGCTGCTTGGTAGATTAACGTCGTGCGGCCTTCACCGTCAGCAACCTTGACATCCCGAACTTCGAGGCAATGCGGATATCGTCGACCATCGCACATTAGGTATTCCGAGCGCCGGAGGAGAATGTAAAAGCCCAGACCGTAGCCCCAAAAAGCACGCGGTGCTGTGGGTTGGCAAAAGCGACGAGGTTGCTGAATGCAACGAGGAGTTGTTGACTGACGGGGCGCGAGGTCGTGACGCGCTAGCTGTCCGTCGGAGTCCCCGAAGCGCGAGGTGGTGTCCGTCGTTGAGCTTGGGTCTGGTACCATATTTGATGCAATGATACCGGCCGACATGGCTAAGCTTTGATTGAATGGTGGCGAATCCAATGCCACTTGTGCGCCAGCATTGTACTGCGAAGAGAGCCAGCTGTAGTGATTGCTCATCGGGGTCATTTCGAGGTAGCCAGATCGGGAGTTGTCGAGAGCGCCGATATTGACACCACTGTTGCCATGAGGACCGATAGGTTCGCTGCGACGAATCTGCCAGGGACCGGAGCTGAAGCGCGAATAACGTGGATCGTAGATCCTCCAAATTTTCTGCGGGACTTCTCGTTCCTGCCACATAGCAACGAGGTTAGAAAACTGATCGAGGCTGGACCCCACCCAGGCGCGAGATCCCAAATCGGCCAACGTATTTCGGGCTCCTGCGAGATGATCGGCCGATACTCGAATGCCGTGTTGGGCTTCGACCGCCCCGAGCACACGGTTCAGCTCTTGTGAGAACGGATTAGAACTTGCCAGTTTGTTGCACCACGATACCGCAGACTGGTTGTCGATGATGCACTTCACGTGAGAGAGACCACGATCATTTGTTGGACTCCATTCAGCACCCCACACAAGAGCCGCCAAAACAACGCTCAATTGCTCGCGAACATTAATCGTGAAATGCGCATCCGAGACGACTGCAGCGGCTTTGCACTTCTGTATCATGTCTTGTTCGATCGTATCAAATTGGACTCGTAGGAATTGACGACGAGCGGGATGAAGCACGCATAATCCTGTGTCACTCGCATCCATGTAGAGATAGACGATAGGTTCCGGCAGATCCCCAAAGAAGCTGGTCGGTACTGATCGAAGCCGACCAAACGATACAAGGTGTTCAAACCAGAGTAGATCTAGCCGAGCGCCGGCACTTAGGACCTTCGACCCGTGCGGTGGCATCTGACGCCACAGGGTTACCACGCGCTGATAGAATGCTTTAGCGGAGTGGATGCAGGAACACACGTGCCGCAGAGACTGCCCAAAAGCTTGTTCAACTGATGTTTTGATGTCGCGTTGGATTCCAGAATTGCACGTATGCGTCCGAGAGCTTTCTCTATCTTGGCTTCTGGCATGGAGACAGTACCTTCCTACGTACTCCACTCGAGCCCAAGAGTTGTTAGCTGCTGCTCCCAACGCGAGAACTTCGAATCGTTAATTGATCTCGGACCGAGAAACGCCATCATCGCCAGACGGAGAGCTGCCTCGGAGAGCTCGAGACGATTATCGATGTCGGGCTCGACGCAAATGTGATCATCAACCCATTCATAAGCAAAGAAGGTTTCCTTGTCCGACGACCGAGGATCAAGGCTACCAGGGCTTTCTAACCCCAAGCGATGCGAAATGGCGCCTTCAAAAACTCCGTAATGGCCGGGCGATCCTGTCCAGCCAAACGGAAGCGCTGTATCGATCACAGCCGCGTTATCCTCGGGAATTTTGCCACAGAACCACCGAACAATTTCTGCGGCCAGCATTATCTGTCGAAAAGCACTCTTCACGTCGCCCTTTACCATCATGATCCGCCGGTTTGGGTAGCGCTTGCGTAGATATTCAATTCGACGGGCGATGGCTCGAACGTGGACGTAGAGTATAGTCGGGAGTTGCGAGCGGTCCGATGCTGCGTTCGTCGATCTCCCCTTTGGATGAGATAGGTCGTGGATGAGTCGGGCTTCGAATTGAGGGTCAAGACCGGCTTTAGGTACACATCCGAACGGGCTAAATTTGACGGTGGGCCAACGCTGATATACATCCGTGTCAACAACCAGATACGTCCCAGCATCCTGGCCGTCACGAATGCTCCGCCAAAGTGCATTGACCGCATCGCGAGCAGACTTGTGATTTTCTGGAACCTCAGAGAAGAAATCATCGAGACATTGACGAAAACGGTGACGAACGCCATGTCGAACAGTGTCAAGGAGGACTTCGCGATGGCGATACCCTCTCGAAAGTACGGCTGACCATTCCACATTCAGTGCCTTATTAGGCCTGCTGTCTTCGGCTGTCTCGTTTCGCCAGATCCGTACTAACTGCACGAGTGAAAGATGTTCTCGACGCGTAAGCTCCGAAACTGCACGTTGTAGTTCCCGGTCGATCTGAGCCGGAGATATACCCACGTGTGAAGTCCGTCGTGTAGCGCAGCACGGAAGTTGGATGCCTGCTTCCCTGAAGAGTGAATTCAGCTGGTCTCGGCGTTTCTGCTCCTCGTTCTGCAACGATGTTTCTAGTGTTTCTCTCACCTGTTGTACGATAGCAGTAGTAATTGCAAACTCGCCGTGAGGAAAGATAGCCATTGGGAGTCATTGATCTTGGGGCATGTCTCGCCGAAGGCCGCCCATGCTCTCGATAATGTACTGACGCACCACGGGTTCGAGCTTCTCTGGGACGAAATGGGCGCGACCGTAACAACAACGTTCTGGGGAGCGGGGAGAGCAACCAGACTGGCTTAAAAACTTGAGGCACACGGATTTCCATTCTGCATCGGTAGTGCCGCGAGAACGTCTTGAGGGACACGACTGCGTTTAGAATCACTGCCGCTGCGCCTAGTCACGGTCCGATCCTGACGTACTGCTTCTTTAAGTGTAGTTGCATTTGCTTCCGTGTGGACGAGATGAATAGTGTTGATGAAATCAGGGTCGTTCTTGGCGAATCGCTGTCGAACGCGTCCCCGGTTATCAACACCCGACACCGCCAGGTCTTCGACTGCCCGACGATATTCATCGAGGACACCATCAAACCAAAACGTGATGAGATCCACCGCCGACGCATTCCACAGGCCCATACCCGTGATGGTTGCTGCAAAACTCATGGCAGCGGTAATAAATTCCTGAGTCGCAGCGTTGTAGAACTTCAGCGCGAAGGCCTGAAGGAGCAAGAACGCTTCGAACAGCTCCGCCATCGTCGTCAGACAGCGAGAGCGAGGTAGATCGACACTGGCCGCAAAATTGTTCATGTTGGCACCTTGTCGACGCCACTTGCGCTGCGCAGTCAGGTCGCACCGCTCCAGGTGAGCCAAAGAGAGACCACGAATGCCAAACGCGAAATCGAAAAGCTTCATCAGGATAGCTGGGTGGGGTGTTATACCTGCAGCAGACGATGACAGCATTAGCTGCATTATTTCTGAGGGTGTCTTACCGGCATAGTCGGGATGGACGATGAGCCCACGTACGGCTTGTTGCAAGCTTGTAGGTCGAAAGTTTGTCCCTGCTTGAGATCTCTCCAGAGCGTCAATGGCCGATGGCATGGCCGGCTCGACTCCTGGCGCACGGCGTTGGGTTGGGCGAGAGTTGATGTCGGCGCTCTCGGCTGGCCGCTTGTTTCGATCCAGGTACTCTGAAATGAAGTATGTCAACGCACGTGGGTTAGCCGCCAGAGTTGACAAGAGTTCTGATTGAAGCTCCCGCGATGAACCCGACGATGGCGGGGGCGTGGGGCGTTCGAGAACGTTTTCGACAGCGTCATCCACGACTGCATCGTCTCCCTCGAGCTCTGAGAGTAGCGCAGTGAGCGCTGAATTCTCAGTGGGAGAAGCGATGGGATCGAAGAGGAGTGACGAGTCACGAGTTCGAGTGCGAGGTCGAGGTCGAGTTCGAGTGCGAGGTCGAGGTCGAGTTCGAGTTCGGGTTCGATCGTCGGAGCGAGGTACGGATCGACGTGTTGGAAGTTGATCCCCGGGATCTTGCGCATTGGCATCTTGAGCGACAGCTTCACGGTAAGCGGGATCGTCAGTGAAACTGGTACCAAGGCTCAGTTGCCGCATTGTGGGGACAGGCCTGTTGCCATCGACGTAGTACGCGTAGTCCACCGCATGCTGCAGACTAAATGTAGCCATCTTTCCTGTAGCCGGGTCGGTCCAGGTGCGCGATTCGGACCCATCCGGTTGTTGGATTACGAGGCAAGACTCCGTTCAAAATGGCAGCAACATCTCTGGAGCCATCACTCCCATAGGTGCCGAGAACTCGGTCGAGCACAGTGACGTTGAAGTCTCGAAGCGCCGCTCGTGTTGTGTCCGCCGTTTTGATTGCTGAATTCTGCATCAGGAGGCAGGTAACAGGAGCGATCTCGTCGAGCCGGTTGGCTGCCATTCGGCTGACGCTGTCGCCATGACGTACGTTGACCGACTTGCCTTGATAGGTCTTGACCATAGACGTAAGTGCCGCGAACAACCCCGCACACCGCCTTGCGTAGAAGTTCGCCCGTCGCTGTATTGGCGTCTTCTTCGGTCACCAGACGATCTTGGAGAGCATTGAGACGGACTTGGCCGTGGCGCGAGGAGTCGCGACAGCATGGTCGGGCCGGGTCCGGAGCACTCGCACGTAAACGTGCTGGTCAGGCTTCCACGACGATGTTGGCAGGAAATCCTCCGGTCGTGCAAGGATCAGCGGTGCCTGCGTGCGCATGAGAGAAGGTAACGTCGGCGATGCGGGGTCTTCGGGACTTGTGCGACCGGAGGCGAATCTTAAAATGATCGTGCGGCTCGAATGCGGCCCGTTCGCGAAAGATCGTGCGGCTGGCGTTGTTCGACTGTTCGTACGAGCTGAAGAGCAAGATCTCGCGATTCTCGCGTCTTCACGTTTCAACAAAACACAGCTTGGCTCCGCCATAGCACCACGGAACAACTCGTACTAGATAGAGATATCTATACATCCAAAGGTGTATGTTACGATAGCGTACGGTAATGATCCTGGTACTGTATACCTCGAGTATCTAGATACTAGCGGAGCATCACGGTCGCTGCGCTCATGTTACTTTAGGGGTCGACCCCCAAAACTATGCTGACCACAGAGTTTTGGACGACGTCCCCACTTGAGGAATTTGAGTACAAAGCCGCTTGCAAATTCTAGCGCTTTATTTCCCCTTTCACGCTCCCCGATTTGCTGGCTATTTTGCAAACAACATAAGTACCATTCATACGTTGTTATTAACGGCAGACTGATACACCTGACCTGTGGTTCGAATGCCAGAACACTTGTATTTTACTTAGTCTGCACGCGTAGGTAGATAACCTGCTTCTTGGTAGCAACAATGGCTCTCTTTTGGCCCGTTCGAGCTCGCCTGCTACTTCGCTTTAAAGAAATCAGACAGCTCCAAGTCCTTCGTGCACGCTAAAGGCGCCGATTATTTGCTCCTTTCTAGTCTGCGTTAATTCACTCATTCATTGCGTTGCTCATGAAAAGATGTTCAACTAAGCAAATGCATTAGCCCACTCAATTACAGTTCTGTTGGGTCGATCTCGGGCGTCACAGCTCTGCTTTGATACCCTACATGCATGTGTGATGGTACGATATCGGGCTCAACTACATTATTTTGAGCTAGTTATCGTTCATTTTATATGTTCCTTATACTGGGAGGACAGCTTTAGCTGGCTGAACAGCCTAACCAATTTTATTTCAGCGGCCGGCCCCCCCCCCCCCAACTTTAATTGGCAAATGTCGCCTGAGTCCATAGTCCACAGATTATGGCTACCGTAACATCAAGGAGTTTGTACGTTTCGTGGCTGATTGTTCCCAGAATGTCGACCGTATCCGTAGCATGGACCAACACTGTAGTGAGCAGTTCTTGAATTTATGAAATTTATTCGGAAAATCATAACTAGGATAGCTCCATTTTTTCGTAATAAGCTAACATTTACTCAAAATCATTGAAATAACAACTAACGGATTGCACTCTTTCCTGTGTCTGTAAATTGACTAAACCCCATGAATCCTTCTTGTGTAAATTTGTATAGCTGGAATGCATGACCTCAACGCGCTCGGCCGGGGGCTTTGCCCCCGGC